TATTTGTCGCGACTTGAATTCTGAAGTTTCCAATCGAATTAATCATTGCGAAAGGTGAAAACAAATACAAAAGAACTATAGTTTGATGCATTTTATACAATATAGTTAATATTGAAATCCTAGAATAAAGTTTTATATCAGTACTCATCAATTTGACTTATTATGATGACTCAGCACTTTTCTCAACACAGTATTGTTCTCAGTGAAAAAATTCTATTCTTTGTGATAAAAATCAAATGTACTAATCAAAAGCTTCAAAATAGTATACTTTAACTGAAGTCTGATTGATCTTGATTTCCCTTGCTATCTTCAGTATAGGGAAAACGGTACTATTTATTCTGCCATAGGCGACAATACTAACATTTTCTAAATTTACCACTTTTTATAATAAAAACCCGGATAAAACAGTTATGTGTAGTGTTAGTACTTTATTATTCTGTTTTAAAAATTGAAGCCAAATAGTATCATGACCAACTTCCAACGGAGCTTGTTAATGTTATCCATGCCCACCGTCATTTTACACCAAATTTATGAAATTTTTGAAGTCTTTTCGAATAATTCTCTAGAAAATATTTCAACAGGTTTCAAAATTTATATTGTAAATATACACCCTGCAGTTATTCATAGATAAATAAAAAAAATATATTGTACCCTAACATCCAATCACAGCGCTCCAAAGTTGACTTCCTTCACCTGCCTTGGGTACACAAAAGGCCAACCTAATGCTGGGAAAATATAATAGTACCGTTTTCCCTATAGACATTGCAAATCTATTATAAATTTTCATACTTACTTTATCTAACTTTATACATCATGCTGCATACAAGTAAAATTAAAACATATATAGCATATTGCAGAAAACGTTTTTACTTTCATTGTTAGATAAGATGATATTCAACTGAATTCGTGACAAAGAAAAAAGATTTTTTCATTAAACGCGGAATAAAAAACAGTTTTCCTTATACATTGAATGTTTTATATCCCATGATAACAAAGTGCATTGTTTCCTGTGATGAAAGCAATACTGTTTCTACATTGTAAATAACATTTCCATATTTGGCGATCGAGTGTTTAAAACTTATTTAAGATTACCTGTACATATGTGTATATTTTTATTGTTAATCTTATATCATAAAGTGTTAAATGGTTTTGTTATGTTTCATGATACGCTGTGTCAGTGTCTCAGCTCATTGTCGACCTGTTCTCGCTGTCGTAGGTCTTCAGATTCTTGAAAAGTCGTATGATCTTTAGTTTCACTGATTGTGTCCTAGTCTCGATTCTGTCTTATTTCCGAGTATAAGAAATTATCACCTGTTGCAATATTCAGAAGGCAGGTAATGTATACTTACATTGACATTTCGAAGACTTTTGTAGCCGACTATTCTATAATCATTGTGCAAGGCCTTAGGTTGACCATTCTGTTATGGAGTTGACTCATTGGCACTTACACCACATCTTCTAATTTTAAATTAGCAGGAGATGCCTACCCTGTTGACACACCTGATCTCCCTTCTTTTCGGGCGATGCAGTTTCTACAAATATTGATATCCTAATTATCTTCCTAGTCAATTTATAAAATTTGAACAACGGTTTACTAATTTTGCTTAAATTTGTGTATTTTCCGTGCGTAAACCGATCCCTCCTTCCTTTTTCGAAACTCTTATGCTCATGTAACTAGTTTGAATGAACGGATTTAAGGGAGCTACCATTTGATTTTATTGGGGGCCTAGGATGAAAAAGTTTGTCCTGCCTTTTTTTAAGTTGTAATCTCTGTCCTGCCTTTTTATTTTTCATTCTATTCGGTCCTGCCTTTTTTTTATAAGTTTATCATGATTTTTATTTACATAACATGTCATCTTGCCTTTTTTTTGCCAAGATGCTCATCCTACCTTTTTTTCCACTCAAAACTCCTGTCCTGCCTTTTTTTATTAATTTCATCCTAGCTCCCCCATGAAAATCAAATGTTAGCTCCCTTATGCACAATAATCAAGACAAAAAGTACAAGAAAAATTACAAAGTATGTTTACCAGAGTTGACCAGATAACAAAGAAAGACAATACAAACATTAATCGTAATTTATACCAAATGTTCATGACTTGTAATTATTTTGTGAGAGGACATCATCTTTATAACGGGAAAAGAACTTAAAGGATACTGCTAAATTCTATTTTTCTCTCTTTCAAAGAAGTTCATATATGACGCCAGCCTGATATCAATAACGATAAAAGTCGACGAGAATGCCGATTGTTTGTTACAATCACGACCGCCACACGTAACAAATATGTTGTTAATCAAGATATTAAACATGTTGATAGTGTCAGTTTTAGCGAAGTTTTGTTTGAATTAGAGTAATTTTTACAAAGTATAGATTATCCCTTCTCCCGGCACAAGATACCTGTATCTATGCTGGCCATTCTTTTTGTATGAAACAAAGCTGCAACAACTCCTTTACTTGTCTTTTAGTTTAGAATGGGGAATATTTATGTACAGTGTAGATAAGTCAAATATTTTAATACTATAATAGATTGTATATACTTTGTCCCAAATGAAATTAATTAAACGATTTGAGTAATCGTATTAATACGATGGCACATACAGCTATATTTAGGCATACATTTAAGTTTGGAATGCATCATAACCCTTTTGTAGAGCTCTGAATATTGCTTTTTTAACCGTTTTCTGCTCTCTTTGTTGATTACCAAGACACTCGTTAAACATTCAGATGTAAATCGTAGAATATCAAACAGCGAAAGAAGAACCCATGCAAACCCGGTTTGATTTGTATATTATTGGACTGACTCGAAGTTTTACACTCGTCTGCTTTCTGGAGGATATTTATGTTATAATTCTGGCTTATTTACGACACCGATCAATAATATATAAAATAAAGTGGTTAATACTATAGTATGGTGATTCAAGGTGGTGAAGGCAAAATTCATTCTGATTTGCACATTTAACTGAAATGTTATGGATATTGTTATTTTAATACTAAAATTGAGTATGAGAGGAGGAATGTTTGATTAGGAAAACAACCTGACAAAAGATTCGAAAACAGCACAGGGTAAGAATGGGTCTTCAACAAAACGAGAAAATCCCGCAGGCTTCAACTGGTCCCAAAACAATAATGTATACTAGTTCAGCGAAAATGGACGTCACACTTAACTCCGAAAAAATATATGAACTAAAATTATAAAACGTACAGGACTAACAAAGGCTACAGGTTCCTGACTTGAGAGAGGCGCACAGTAGAATATAATATTTAAAAAATCGTAATTGGAATAGGTAACAGAAGAAAGTTAGAAAGAACGCTTATACCGATGATTAAAATACACATCTCGAATAGTGTGCCCAAACCACCATAATAAAAAGAACATATATATTAATATCAGCATATTATCTTTAAATGCAATATGCTATCCATTTAAATAGACCAACAGAATAAAAAGACATATTGACTAGGACAGTTAAACTAGTAAATTTGAACTTAGGCGGAAAAGTATATGTCTAAGTGTAAATAAAAAAAAATAGAATTTAATTGTCCATAAAAAAAGGTATTACTAAACAGATATTTCTATATATGTATAGTTTGATTCGAGCGTCACTGATGAGTCTTTTTTAGACGAAACGCGCGTCTGGCGTAAATATAAAATTTCAATCCTGGTATCTATGATGAGTTTATTTTCATACATTAAGAATCAAATGTCTCAGTTAAATAATGGCAACAGTATTATACCGCTGTTCGAAAGTCATAAATCGATTGAGAGAAAATAAATCCAGGTTACAAACTAAAACCGACGGAAACACATCAACTATAACAGGAAAACAACGAAACAACAGAAACACTAAAGTGCAACAAAAAAAACAGACGACAATGTAACACACACAGAAACGAACTATAAGATAACAACTGCCATTTTCCTGACTTGGTACAGGATATTTTAAGAAAAATGGTGGATTGAACCTGGTTTTGTGGCTAGCCAAACCTCGCGCTTTTATGGCAATGTTAAATATAACACTAAAAGGACAACATTACATGACATGACTCCATTACAAATAAATGCAAGAACATTCAGGACAGAGAAATACACAAATAAACAATACAATAATACATTTCGACATGCTAATAGTTAGCAGATGTACCAGGCTTATAATTTAATACGCCAGACGCGAGTTTCATCTACATAAGACTCATCAGTGACGCCCAGATCAAAATGATCAGAAAGCTAAACAAGTATAAAGTTAAAAAGCATTGATGACCCAAAATTCCAGAAAGTTGTGCCAAATACGGTCAAGGTTATCTATGCCTTGGATAAGAAAATCCTTAGTATTTAGAATAATTTATACTTTTGCAAACAGTAAATTTATAGAAAAATGACCATATAATTGATATTCATGTCTACACCGAAGTGCTGACGAACCACACAATAAAAACGAACACGTAAAACAACCTAGGGCAGCACATAAAAACAGCAAAACATAACCACGCATTGTCTATCACACGACTGGATAAACGCTACAAAATGACGTCACAGGTAAATTTCTAAAAATTTTGATATACAAAATGTAGTTTTAAATCTGACAAATACACAAGATATCGTCATTTAAAGCTTTTTTTAAAATCCTATGTAACTTTTCAGCGCTTTTTTAATACCAGGATTCCACCTCCACCAAGCATTGTGTAGATTCCAGATTCCTATGTTGTTCTTTTTTGAGTACGAAGTATTGATTTAAAAATTAAGGAGAACAAGTTCAATTGATAAATGGAGTCTGACACGTGCCATTAGACTCACAATGTCTGATTGAGTTTATCCTGAAATAAAACGTCCTAGAATTGATTCCACTGTAACGAACCACAAGTTCATTTGATAAATGTAGTATGATCACGTGCCATTAGACTGACAATGTCTGAATGAGTTAATCCTAAAACAAGACATTTAAGTACTGATTTCACTGTAACGGACCACAAGTTTATGTGATCAATGCAGTACAAGTACGAATCATTAGACTGACAACGTCTCCTTGAGCTTGTCCCAAAATACGACATCCCCGTATTCGTCGTTCGGATATTCAATGTAAGATTTTGATTGGATAAGTTCCAAAATATTCAACGGTAGGTCTTTTGATGATATTTGTTCAAGGAACACGAGCAATATAATGTTTTCTTTACTTCTTGCATAGATACTCTCCATTTTTGCCATATTGAATTCGAATAAACACCAATCAGATTCGAGAAAATGGTGTGAAATTATTACGACCGTTCTACGGCTGTTATGAATTGCGGATGTTATATTAGTTGCAATATCATTTCCGGCCAAAAAGTCTCTTTTGTGCACACAGCATCTTATGTTTCGATCGTCTTCCAAATGTTTAAGGAACTTTGTATAAACAAACGTGTCATCTTCGTCGGCGTAAGAAACGAATGCATCGTACAGGAAATCGTCATCTATTTCAAATGGTTTGATTTGACCATGGTGTTTTCCTTTAACTATATAATAGGCATAACGAAGCTTCCATCTATACCGATAGGCGATTCCAGCAATTATGACAATAGCAAAGATAGTCAGCCATGATCCTACGGTGACAATGGTTGTCGTATGGGAGGAGCATGTCTTCTTCAAATAACCGTACATTAGCTTCGAGCTGTTAAAATTGATTTGGAGGGATTGACATTCTTGATGTAAATTATTTAGAACATGCACATTTGTCGATGTATACCACTTAATAAACTCAATTGACTCGCATGAGCATTTGATAGGATTACCTAGCAGATTAACTGCTATGTTTGGAACGTTGTTTGAGAGAATATCTAACTGCCTGGTAAAAGAGGCGCACAAAGTTGACAAGCGGTTGTAAGATAAATCTAAATACGAAAGTTTGGTCATATGATCTATTTTAAATATTTCATTTTCAAGCATATTCCTACTCAAATTTAACATCCGTATCTCTGTTTGACTATAGAAGATTGTTGTTGGTAAACTTGGTATTCTGTTGTCCGCTAGATTAAGTAATTTTAATTTTGTTAGTTTTGCTAGAATTTCTCCATTTGTGTCTGTCGGTAAAACAAAACCTAATAGGTTGTTTTGTATCAATAAAGTTGTAAGGTTGGAACCGTATTCAAAGAAATTTGTAGATACGTTCGAACAGAAATTGTTGGATATATCCAAATATGTCAAGCATGTTAAATTTGATATTGGGCCTTGCCAGACGTAAAATGCATTATTAGAAATGTCTATATACTCTTATTTATTTTTTAAGAAATTCATTTTAAAGAGATAATACCTTAACTCGCATTCTCGAAAGTGACATTTCTTAATGTTCCTAGGTATAGGCACCTTACTGATATCAAGAGAAAAAGAAAAAGGTTTGTTTCTGTGATCATTTTCATCGTTTCTTTTGATTTCCATTTTTCGGTAGGTATCCGTAGTTTCACTGCACGGCGAAAACCATGCAGGATTAATATCACATGGTTCGTCTGAGTTCAACAAGTAATGTGATAACCCCATATACGATGCATTAACTTCTTCAGCAGTCACATAAAAAACATCCATTATGTAATTGCCGTAGCTGAACTCGTTGTCAGCAATTGTGATTTTTTTCAGCGTCTTGGGTAGAAATTTTAACGCATCCTTTTCTATTAACTGCAGACGATTGCTCGCCATCTGAATCTCTTTTATTTTGGTATTATTGAGCGGTTCGATCTGACATTTAGTCAGTATTGTATTAAGATCAAAGGTTTGGTGAATTTTATTTACCCTCAGAATTTCTATTGAAGTGGATGGTAGATCATATGTTACATTCGCTAGTCCTCTGAATTTAAGGCATCTGTTGTCAGACAAATCAAGATACTTCAAATGCACCAAAATCTTAAAGGAACCAGTCGAAATGGTATTAATTTTGCACTTACTCAAATCCAACCTTTTGATATGAGGCATATATTTAAATGTTTTTTGTGTTATAGCTTTTAAAATACAGTAACCAGTTAATCCAGACAAATCCAATTCTTGGAGAAAACGAAGATTTGCATATCCGACACCAAATGGTTCATTTCGATGAGATACAACATCAATTTTCAAAGTTCGCAGGGTTACCAACGTTGAAACATGGAGCGAAAACGGGTGATTGAAATTTCGTTTTATTGCAAGTTGCAGCAGGGATACTAATGGCTTGAAAATATTATTTGGAATAGCTGTATGGTTGATAGAGTTATTACTAATAATTAATGTCTCCAGTTTCGAAAGACCCTGAAAAGATCTTTGATGCAGTTTACTGATGTTGTTGTTCGACAAATCCAAGTAAATGAGGTCATGATTAATTCTAAATATTCCGTTTTTAATGCCGCGAATATTGTTATGAGCGAACGATATATTTGCCACATTTGTAGGAATTGTTGGAATATATCTAAGGCTTTTCCAAGCACAGTCGGCGGTCAACCTTTCATGGAAAATGTAACTTACAATATGAAAATCCTTACTTGGTAATTGAATTGATACATGTTTAGAATCGGCAAACATATTTGTTATAGTTATGATACTTTGGTGTGGTGAAAAATATTTTTTTTATTTATATTTGGCTATATGTCATCATTTTCTAGCACTAGGTCGACTACGCTGCCGGTTTACTTGTTCTTCCTGAGGGTGTGGCCAGCTCAGTAGTTAGGGCTTCATCGCGGACATAATTTACAACAAAACGTCTAAAAATTCTCGTTGATAAAATCAAACATTATGAAGAAACAACGGTTCCAACTCTATCCTGCAAGGTTTACCTATTGATGACTATTGGCTATTCTCTTAAGATCCATATAGTTCCACTAGTATTTTAAAAGTATTCTTATATCCTCGGCTTTCAAATTTTTGGCGTCATGTTTAAATGATGAATCTTAATCCAGAAAAGCACAGCACCAAATTTAAAAAGTGTAATTTGCATATTTGAAGGCGTTTTTATATCACGCTGTAAGATTTTGGCACTTTTTATTTTAAATAGTGTTTCTATGTACCTAATGATATTTATTACCACAAAGATGCTTATTTAATCATAATTTCCATACAAAGTACTTACGGTTATTAATTATCCAAATTATGATTCACAAAAGTTACCTAAGCATATATATTGCTGAAACGGTTTCAGTTCCATTAAAAATGTCACATGACTATAATCGAAAATACAGATTGAACACGGAACATGAAACTTATTCAATTCAAAGCTAAATTGTTTTAATATAATGATCAAAAAGGATTTTTCCGGTAAGAACAATTAGTCTTTTGCAGTTTTTGATATTTGTTTCTAGTTCCTTATTTAGTATTGTCATAAAGCAAATTATTAATTGAAGCTTATTTTGACCATTTATGGTTTGAGTATTTTCAAATCGAATATGTATTTGTTCATCAGATAAATCATTCTGTTGCATTATTTTCTGTTGCTTTTTATTGTAATTATTTACTAATTCATTTATCTAAATCATTATTTGTTGTTCAGTAACCCGCTTTATTCACAAATCATAAGCTATTCACATCAAACAAAATGCATCCATCAAAAAAGTCGGCAGTTAAAGTTCCATTTTGATATAAAAAGTAAAATTATTTATGAAAAATAACATCAGTCATAAATTACCGCAACAATTAGAGTATATCAAATCATATAAAACATTTGCATCTTGTACACTAAGAAGGTGAACACGATTTTTCCCATGAAAAGTATGTATTGAAATTGACACACTAATATGCTAGATAAAGCAAAGGATTGATAGAATTTTGAGAAGTGACCTTGAGGCATTTAATGGAGAAACGCATCAAAATGTGACACGGAAATTGACCGTGTAGCAATTAAAAGACTCTTTTTCTCAAGAAGCTCCACCAGTCAATATATTTTCATAAAGATTATATAAACATATAAATCCTAAGAACTTCTCCTTAAATTAAAAAAAAAAATGTTTATGGATCCCATTTGAATACAATTCCCTTTTATCGCACGACTGATACTTGTTACAAGCGAATTCCACTGCGGTTCTGCAGTCTAGGTCAAAAGTGTTCCCTCACTTGAAAATACTGCTATGTATTCATATAAATTGACAACCGCAAAAAATGAAAATTCAATTTCAGTAGTTTTTTCTGCTATATGATTTATGCTGTAATACAGGGGCAGATCCAGGGCCCGGGAAAGAATCGGCGCTATTGTCTATAATGGTTAAAATCTCAAATTAATGTTTTGAAAGATTTTATGCTTTTATGCAAACATTAAATAGTATATATATATGTTTAGTCTAAATTGTTGAGTGGTCTAGAGCGACGGACACAGTACAAGCAGTGTTGTCTCGATATCGCAATAGCATGAGTTCGAATCCCGGCGAGGGAAGAACAAAAATGTGCTTCTGCAAATTTGCAGAATTAACATTGTTGTGCTAATATTTAGAGTAGTTATATAAAAAAGAAGATGTGGTATCATTGCCAATGAGACAACTCTCCACAATAGACCAAATGACACAGAAATTAACAGCTATAGGTCACCGTACGGCCTTTGACAATGAGCAAAGCCCATACCGCATAGTCAGCTCTTAAAGGCCCCAAAATCACAAATGTAAAACAATTCAAACGAGAAAACTAAAGGCCTAATTAATGTACAAAAAAATGAACGAAAAGCAAATATGTAACACAGCAACAAACGACAACCACTGAATTACAGGCTCCTGACTTGGGACAGGCACATACATACAGAATGTGGCGGGGTTAAACATGATCCCAACCCTCCCTCTAACCTTGGACAGTGGTGTAACAGTACAACATAAGAACGAACTATAAAAATCAGTTGAAAAAGGCTTAACTCATCAGATATACATATAACAAAAACATGTGGACGTGACCGGGTACTTGTACATCCCAACAACAAAAAGACACTAAGTACAAATCTGAGAGTACTCGCAGTTACTGACAGCTAGTTCAAAGCCAATAACAACTAATATAAAAAAAAATCATGCATCTAAGACTAAATTATCAATCAGTACACATCCAACATCCAATGGATTTAGTGTAAAGACGTCATAAACAGTCAGAGAAAAACATGACCTTGTGCAATGCCAAGATACAGGAGTCGACAGATTGTAGAGCCATGAATGTGTATATGTATACAACAATAATATTTAGTTTGCTTTTAATTTACTGATAACAAAATCAATATTAATACCAATAAAAACAATACTCAAAGATCTAATGACAGTGTTGAATTTGTAACCTTTCAGAATAAGTTTATTTAAAGGATCGATAAGTTTACCAGGACCGTTTCTAAATTTACGGACACGGTAAACAACATTTCCGTGAAAATGAGGATGTGCTATCCTGTTTGAAATAAGTTTTCTACAGGTACAACCGAACTTCAAAACCAAATCTTTATATCTATGGAAGAATTTAGTAAATGTTTTAACTTATTTGTGGTAACGGAATTTCTGACTTAATAATTTACCAGTAATACATAGATTACGTTCGTTTAAATCTAAAACGTCACAAGAGACACGGGCATAGCGAAAGAGTTGTGAAATATAAACACCGTAAGATGGTGCCAAAGGAACATCACCAATCAAAAAAAGGAAAATTAACAATAGGGAACGAAAAATTGTCCCTTTTGTCGTAAATTTTAGTGTGGAGTTTCCCGTGTAAAACTGAAATATCTAAATGTAGAAAAGTACAGCTATAAGCGTTTACATTTGATTTATTTAAAGTAAGTTCCTTTTTGTAAATTTCGGCAGTATATTTAACGAAAAAATATCATCAAGATAACGGTAAATGTTGTTGAATTTATCAATTAAATGCAATTTAGACAGGTCTTTACTGAGTGTGGTCACAAACTGTGATTCATTATATTTATAAAGTTCCGATGAGGAGGGCTGCTAGCCCTCACATGAATCCACAATTAAAATAGGTATTATATTTTTAAATATGTCAGTCTTAGTGTTAATTTCATTAAAATCATGAAATGAAAACAATATTAAATGATCTTGGTCTTCTTATATTCATTTTCTTTATTCATAGCTGACTATACGGTATGAGTTTTGTTCATTGTTAAAGGCATTACGCTGACATATAGATATTTTCATCTAACGTCATCTGGATTCTTGTGGAAAGTTGTCTCATTTTTAACCACATCTACTAAACTTTCATCAAGGGAGTGTTTTGAAACTGGAGGGGAGTGTTTTAACTTAGGCTCATACCACTCTAGAGTATTTTTAAACAGGGTAATGTTATGAAACTCATACACTGGTTTTAATTCAGTTGTTTATAGTGTTTCAATTTTTTTTTTCATGGTTTATAGTATACAAATATTATTTATCTAAAATGTACCGTTCTAGTTTTATATATGATATTAGTAAGTTTCGTTCATTGTGAAAAATCATTTCTGAGGTTATGATCTTTCGTGCACATACAACCCTCGCATCCTCTAACGCTTTAGTAGATGTATTGAAATTGTTAATTCATGCATTTGATATAACATAGAATTGTACCAGCTAAGTAACATACCAAAAGTGTTCTTCAGACAAAATTAAGTTACAAGCTGCAAGAAAGTCCATGCATGCTAGCCATGCTATAGGTAAAACGGACGATTTATACATGTGTTGCATGTACCAATCATGAATTTTAACATGCAAATTTAAGCAGGAAGTTCCACTAAATATTACTACAAAGCTTTGTTTTTAATAACAAATAAGGAAATTATAACAAATAAGATACATATCTTATAGAGATCAAATTACGTAGATGTAATCAATTATAGGGCTCAGTGTTGTCTTCAATAATGAGCATATCCCTAACTGTATAGTACGTTAAGTGTTTTGTTCTCTCCGTAATGTACCAAAAGTAAACATTTTGCTTTATCAGTATTGTTTAGCTCTTTTCGAGTCGTCATTGACATTGTAGTTGGTTTTAACAGGCAACATCAGTTTACAGATATTCAAATCTTTAAAATCACACTTTGCATATTTGATTAAAAAACAATTGAGGGGAATGTCACAAATATCGCAGAAATAAGTTCGTCGATTGGGCAAGCGCCTCCTACTATGCATGCATTAACTGTTATGTGATTCCACGCTCAACCAAAATGTCACGATTGGCAGTGGGACAAAATTAACAGAAATTAACAGATCAGATCAAGACTATTCTGGCAATTTATGATCTAAGACTGCGAAAACAAGTATCTCGCGGATTGCCACACAGACTTATCGTATCAGTTCAAATCGTGATGGTCGTTCAATATGTGTAGTGTTTTGTATAGGTTACCGATTTTTTTCTAAAAAACCCTTTAAGTTTTGAAGTCAAAAACTAGAATGAGTTCGTTTACTAGGTATAAAAATTATGCCTTCTGATTGGTTGCATTAATTTACTAGGTATATGCTTTCTGATTAGTATACATAAATTATGTGGGAAGAAAAATTGTTCTTCTTGTATATAAGGACCGTTTACCATGGTGAAAAATGAAGTTCATCATTTTGCTAAATAAATCATTAGTGTACTGTAAACCCCTTCCTATAACCATCGATCTAGAGTTATATTTAGTACATTTAGTAGGTATTTTTCAATGAGGTAATATCTATATTTTATCACTCGATTTCACATCAATATTTTATATGTCGTAATTATGATCCTTTGTATAGTTCTGAACATTGATTTAGTTAACCTGGTTCTATTCCAAGTATGAAATGTTAAAGATTGACATAGGTGTATAGTTATTTTTATGGGTTTTTTGTGTGTGTGTTTTGTTTTGTTTTGGTTTTTTTTCCTTTTTGTTTTTTGCTGTTTGTTTTGTTTTTTTAATTCCAAAAACCTTTCTTTTTTAATCTCGGTTATTTATTTACCATTCCGCTTGGTTTTAAAAGCACCACTAGAAAATACACTCTGGCGTACAACGTACTATACCTAAATTAACCTATACAGCACCCGTCACCAAAAAAAAAGGGGGATATCAAATCTGACTTGTCTTGCTTTCAATTGTATATACGACTTTTGTTTGGTGAATACAAGTAATTGGCTGCGGAAAAGCCCCTTCCTTATACCCAAAACTAAACGTCCATTTACAATATTACATATGTTTATTATTGTTTAGTTTTATTTTGCTTTAGTCTTTTGAATCTTTCTTATTGAATTTATAAAATAAAATCATTCAAAAAAAAGAATGAGTATCGAAAAAGACGAGAGGCACCTAAGTTGAGTCTCCTCTAATTGGCATGTCATTTGCATTTTGACTCACTTTTCACTAGTTATATGCCCACTTTTGCAGCTATTCTTTGGAAATTACCTGTGTATCGCTATATTTAGAAATTATTTTTATCCTATTTATTTTGTAAGTTTATATGAAAATAATGTTTCAACATAATATGTGTGATCGGTATTGCATACTAGGGTAACCCTTTATGAGACAGGAACTTAACAGTTCGTCATAATGATAAACCAGTGTAAACGTTTATAGAACAACAGTCAAGCCTTGTTCATGTTCTTCCTGTCTAGTAATATTTATCATCTTTTATTAATTCTTGCTCTCCTTGAATTTATTCTGTCTAATATTTAAATAAAGATATGTGGTATAAGTGCCAGTAAAATTGAGCACATTTAGGTCACCGCACGACAGTCACCAATGAGCAGAATCCATACCGTAAAGGCCTTGACAATAAATGTCTTGTACCTTGACCTGGAGACTAAGTAACAATTGTAGATAGCCTCCCTTCTTACAAGAGTACAGCCGCTGAAACATTGCATATTAGATTTCTGTTTTTCTCTCAGGAAATAAATGCAAAAGTTTGTGAAGCAAAAATTGAGAGATAAACTAAACTATAGGTTGAGAAAATGAATGCAATTTCTAATATTACTGTTAATCCACAAAAGTACAAAAATATTTTTATGAGAAAAAAAATATGGAAATAAGTATGTACCGAAAAGTGTATTTAGCCAAAACAGTTATGAAACAGTTATTAAAAGAATATACTCAAACAGAATGTAATTAATTAATTACTTTATGGAACAATTTTGAAACATTAATATTAAAACAGCATACTAGTACTTCCACTTCATTTGATCTTTAGTGGATAGTTGTCTCATTGGCAATCATACCACATTTCCTTATCCTTATATAGAAGAAAATGTATTGTGTGCATATGCTGTTTCCGACAAATTCATTAATTTGCTTGTAAAATGGAGTTATTTCACGACAGCATTCATAGATAAAATACATACAGTTGTCTATCCTGTCACTATATATTATATCCATTCCCGTAACTACGGTTAAAGTAACCATGGAAACAGGATAGACTGTAATTGACTGAAATTTCTTCGAATAGTATATAAATGTGTATTTGTTTTTACACCTATTGTTTGAACTTATTTACAGATTTCATCATCTTCATCTTCGCAACATGTACAAAAATGCAATACTGTTATATCAGTACAGGACAGACAGGATTTAGTTATTTCTCTTAAACGTACGTACGGTCCTGTTTCCACCTACAAAATGACAAAAGTAAAACATTATACGTAAGAAGTACTATGTGTTGTTGGCTTTTTTTGAAAATACTGAATATTATGAAATAGGGACATTATGTTTTTCGGTCTGTGCGTTCGTTCGTTCGTTCGTCCGTCCGTCTGTCTCGCTTCAGGTCAAAGTTTTTGATTAAGGTAGTATTTGATGAAGTTGAAGTCCAATCAATTTGAAACTGACTACACATGTTCCTTGTGATATAATCTTTCTAATATTAATGCCAAATAAAGAGTTTTGTCCCCAATTTCACGTCGTGTACTATTGACGCATTCTCGTTAGAAGTATTTTTCGGTAAAGTATGGACAATTGACAAATAAAAAAAATATAGCAATACATGCAAAGAATATATATAGTTTATTTCTTGAAAACCACTTTATTGAATTTCAAGCTCTTTGTTTTTTTCGAGATCCTTTTCCAATAGCCGTAAGTTTCTTTTGAAATAAAAAAAACAGGACAGCCAGAATAGTGTGCACCTATCAAAAATGTTTCAATATGTTGATCATTGGTATTGTATTTTTTTTTTGGTATTTTGTTCAAGAATAATGGTTTATTTAGAGTTGTTTGTCACGCTTATAAAGAGGATGCTTTACAATTTCAAAATTCTACATTCATTCAGTGACTCATATTATATCTAAGTGTAGTATGTCATGTATGTATTCATTCAAAATATATGTTGTGTAAATATGTGAAAATATGTACTGAAATATGGGCCTTTGCCAATTATTGTAATTGTGTTTGTGCCAATAAAATATTTGTATTTGTATTTGTAAAAGCTTACTATTAACTAAAAATAAACATTTTTGTTTAAAATGTTTTAGTCATACTAAACTTCACCTAAAAGGGTGGTTTATACTTTATAAATAGATAATTCTGAAAAGGTAATCATTTCTTTTCACAAGATGTTCTATATGAAATCAATGTAACAGTGTAATGGTTTGATTGTTCATTGAAATGCATACATTAGTTTTATCTTCCTTTCTTGTTATATTTATAACTTATTGTTTGCTCTTTATGGGTCCTGGAGTGGATTTCACAAAAAAAAACTTAGGGCTAAGATTGGTCGTAAGTCATGAACAATTCAGTATACTTACGATCAATCTTAGTCGTAAGTTTTTTTGTGAAACCGACTCCTGTAATTTTGAAAAATAGAATATTCTAGTCTATTCTAAAAATACTCACCGGTGCTTTACGATCTATTTTTACACATGTTACAGTTCAACACTATTATCTGATTGTGGTTATAGAAATTTCCATTTACCTTGAATGACTACTTTGTACTTGAATAAGACCTGATGTCATACGACTCTTAGTAAAGAACACGTTCGAAACGGTTGATAATTATTGTGTAACAAAGACTTGAGCAAGGAAGTTTGAATTATTTTTGTAACAGTTATAGTATATTTTCACAAAATGGCGACAAAAAGATTGAATAAGGTAAGCGTTAGAATCAGTAATGAGCAAGTTAAGATATCAATAAGACAGCAACCGAACGACATAAATAACCAATAGACTATCATATACAGGTCAACATACAGCCTTCAACAATAGCCATATGTGATGGTTAATGAGAATAAATAGTACAGTACTGTATGAAGATTATTATTATTATTAAAAAGATGTTAACCAAAAACTTTGAAGTTTGAAAAAGGATATATAAAATCATTTAGATATTAGTACTTTACAATTCGAAACGGTTTCGCTTTACCCAAAAAGTCTATAAAATAGAAGATATAGGTCACATATTTTTCTAGTTGGTCTAATCATAATTGAAATTCTGTCCCAAAGAATTGTTAAAATTGTGAATGTTTTGTCTGCCTAACTAATTGTTTGGTAAAGTGTACTTGTCAAATGCTTTTTTAGTTGAAATGACTCTTACGCAAAATTTGATACAAAGGGTAACATATTAATATAATACAAAATTATGCTTGCAAATTTTATACTATTAAGGTAAAATATTATCAATCTGTAGGTAAATAAAATTATCATGATTTACAGGAAATGTGTGATGGTTTCCCCAAAATTTGAAACCTTCCTTTTTCATTTTTCATCACAAACTTGCTGACGGAAGTGATTTGTTGATTAAAAACTAAAATTTGTATGTAAACGGCGAACAAAAAAACAAATATTTTTTTGGTCACTGGTACATTATTGATTTATTGGTTGTTGATTGCTTAACACCCAGTGGCAAATATTTCATACATGTTCGGACGAGAAGAAATTAATATTAAATACAATAGGCAGGTCCTGTAACAGAGGTCGGGAAAAGTTTGACTGCCACTGGAAAATGATGGTATATTGGATAGAGACAGAAATTTTGTATTGCAACAGGCCACCTACGGATCTCACAAAGAGTTGCTGCAAGGGTTCTTAACCTGCAGACAGCGTGCCGCTCCCTCTACACGAGGCATCAGATTTAACGTCCCCATTCTGACCGGATGTGGCTTCATACTTTATTTGGCTTTTTTTTACCTTTTTGATTCGAGCGTCACTAATGAGTCTTTTGTAGACGAAACGCGCGTCTGGCGTACAACATTTTAATCCCGGTATTTTTTATGAGTTTATTTGTTATACTTGAAGAAATGTAAATTTTACTTTTCAGGAACTTTTAGACATTTCTAAATGTCCTCCACCAGGTATTTCTGCAGGTCCAATTAACGATGACAGTAAGTTTTAAACTCATTCTAAATAATATCAGATTATGACTTGATGTGTGTCGTGTTTTAGTATTGTAACGTGTAACCAGGCGTTTATATCTTAAACGTACGTTCCAGTAAATACTTGGATCCAAGTTGTCCAAACAATACGGCAATACTAAAAACTACAACTATCTATATTATGCACAATGAACTAAAATATACACACTGACTCTTTGCCGATATGAAGTAACAACGGACAATTATATATATATACAAATATAATACAATAAAACAGCCTGTCCTCAAGATGGGACGGTCTGTCACTAAAAGACAGTTTGGCTGGTATAGTCTGCCTGTATCAGACAGTGTGTGCTGGTACAGCCTGTCCTCCGAGTGGGACAGTCTGTCACTTCCGGACAGTGCGGGCTGGTACAACTTGTCCTCCGAGTGTGACAGTCTGTCACTACCAGACAGTGCGGGCTGGTACAGCCTGTCCTCCGAGTGGGACAGTCTGCTATGTCAATCCTATCAACGTGTTCGTCCACTTTGTACCCAGTACAAAGTGTCCTCTGAATATCAAGGCTCTTCTAGCACTTAATATATCGACGTACGCTCTATTGAAGGATGACAGCTCATCGACAGCCAACCGACAGCCTCAAGTGCCGTTTCTCATTCTCTTATATACTCGTGGTCGATACCACTATTTCCTTGATAGGGATGTTCTCTATATATTACCCTTACGGAGCATAGAGAGTCCCTTACGGTCACCCCTATAACTTTCGACCCGGCCACTAATTTTCCCGCCAAACGTCTAAATCCACACAACGCTTCCTTCAGAGTGAAACATGCATTGATACAACAAGATTCTCCTGATTTGTAACCATAACCACCAAAAAAACATTACATAACCCACGCCTCAATCTACATGCGTCCCGCATGATACATTTAAAATTACAAAATTTAATTCAACAACATTTATACACAATCTGAATTTTACTTATTTACATAATCAGCCATCCAGGCTGGTCTCTTACTCTCGTGATGACCATTGTCCTCCTCTAATCTTATTGAGGCACGCTTCCTTTTCATTGGGCGTTTTTTCCTCTTGCACTTAGTGCAACTATTGACATATGCTCTCACTTCAGATTGCAAACCAGGCCAATAGAAAGACTGGCGTATTTTATCAAGAGTCTTATGCGTACCTAAGTGACCAGCATACTCTGTGTCATGGCAGTATTCTAATACTTGCTTGCGCTCCGACATTGGAATTACCGCTTGTAATTTCACAATGTTCCGTTCCCGGTCGTCGTGGCGTCTAACTACTACATCACCGTGGACCTCTAAACAACCAAACTGACTCCATAATGACCTAAGAAAATATCCCTTACTGGATACCTCATTGTATTGTGACCTTTGACCCTCTGTCAGCCACCGCTTAACACGTTTAAGGTCCGAGTCATTCGATTGTAACTCATTTAAAGTCAAGTCTTTACCATTGTCAGGCATCTGACTGGTTACGATTTTGACATGGCTATGTTTCCTCTTAGAACAATCACTGCTCATGTTTGACTGACTGTCTGATGTTAACCGACGTGGTTTGCCTGGAGCACTACTTAATGCGTCATCATTTCTACGTTGGGTACCTTGAAAATTTAGAGGAACCCTAAAGTTATCGATGTGTAATAAGTTAGCAGACACGTCAATCAAACACTTATTTTTCTTCATAAAGTCTAAACCTAGAATACCATCTACTTGTAGGTCAGTTACAACGGCCTCTGAAGTAAACTTCTCTTTACCAAAATCAAGTGTAAAACTACCCTTCCCCTTGAGGCTTAAATAGTTGTCACAGACGGACTTAATCTGTGACTGAGTTTTACACATATGCGGTCTATACAAGTCAGGAATTGAATTATACACTCTTGTAGAAACTAGAGTAAGCGTAGCTCCAGTATCAACCACAAACTTGACCGGTACATCTTGAATGCTCAACTCAACAAACATTCCTGCATCTTCTGATGCTGAAACAATAACAGCGCCTTTGTCATTGTTTGAAGATTTAACTTCAGACTTCAGTGTATTAACCGTACCGTCCGTTTTAAAATTGTTCTTATGTGTTCCCTCCGTACTTTGTTTCTGATTATTATTGGGACAATTTCTTGCAAAATGTCCTATTTGTCCACAACTGAAACAAGGACCACCCCTTTTTCTGTTGCTTTGAGTGTTATTGGTCTTCCACCTTAGTTGGAACTTTCTTTTGGACTTTAATGCTTTAATTTCTTTTGTTAAGGACAGTAAATTATTTTCAATCGTCTGCATCCACGTCGTCATTTGTCCCATAGATACAGTCATATCAGGACTATTAGGTGCTTCTGTCCGTTCGTCACTAGTAGTATGTCGTAAGTGACCCATACGTTTCATTGTTCTACTCTCAGCCTTGTTATAAGCTTCAAGCTCAACCGCCAACCGTATAGCTTCGTTAAGAACTTTTGGACGAGACTGTTTAATTCTCAGTCTCATTTCTGAGTCTACTAGCGCATCTATAAATTGTTCTTTAGCGAGCGTGTCCTTTAATTCTAACGGGGCAGTCGGGTAGGCCAGATTAGAAAGTCTTCGAACTGACTGACCTAACCCCGGCAAAGTATCGCTTGCTTTTTGTCGACATTCCTTGAATTGAACACGATAGAGTTCAGTCTGACTAGTTGGAGCAAAGCGTTCCTCCAGTGCGTTTACTAGGTCTGAAAATATTTGTCTCTTTTCCTTTGGTAAATCACCAAGGACTGTTTGAGCCTGTCCAATCAGTGACACGGCCAAGTACAAACCTTTCTGGTGTTCAGACCACATATTAACTAGGGTACACATCTCAAAGTGTGCTAAGTAATCCATCCAAGAAGTACTGCCATCATATTTTGATGGTTTGATTTTAACATCATTCGAACCAGAGCAAACAGTATGAGCAGTACTTTGATTTTTGGTTAAATACTGTTTACCTTGCCCTATGGATTTCCTATTACTCATGTGAGAATTTGATATGATATCCCCATCTGGCAAAGGCAGTGTATCACCCACGGCCAATCCACTATGTGCTGATAGAGACGGCCCTGTCGTCACTACGCCTGGATCATGATCTTTATTTGCAATAACCTTTGTACGTACACCCTGATCTTTAGGTGTAGAAGATATAAAGCCAAGTCCATGTTGCATTGTGCTTTCACTAAGAGACTGTATTTGTCTACTTATTTCAGCAATCTGATCGTCAATATTTAACATATTCATTGCAGTATAGTGCAAGTCAAATAAAACAATTATAGTGTTATAATCTTTTATTAAATAATACACTCGTGTTACAACTCAGCCGTGAACTATAACTATGCCTCACGGTTGATTTACTTTAATCTTTTAAATAACATTCATGTCAACTGACAATCGATTATGAAAATCAATCAATCAAATACTATGTGATAGACAACTTGAATCCCAACCGCTAGCCACCAAATATGTAACGTGTAACCAGGCGTTTATATCTTAAACGTACGTTCCAGTAAATACTTGGATCCAAGTTGTCCAAACAATACGGCAATACTAAAAACTACAACTATCTATATTATGCACAATGAACTAAAATATACACACTGACTCTTTGCCGATATGAAGTAACAACGGACAATTATATATATATACAAATATAATACAATAAAACAGCCTGTCCTCAAGATGGGACGGTCTGTCACTAAAAGACAGTTTGGCTGGTATAGTCTGCCTGTATCAGACAGTGTGTGCTGGTACAGCCTGTCCTCCGAGTGGGACAGTCTGTCACTTCCGGACAGTGCGGGCTGGTACAACTTGTCCTCCGAGTGTGACAGTCTGTCACTACCAGACAGTGCGGGCTGGTACAGCCTGTCCTCCGAGTGGGACAGTCTGCTATGTCAATCCTATCAACGTGTTCGTCCACTTTGTACCCAGTACAAAGTGTCCTCTGAATATCAAGGCTCTTCTAGCACTTAATATATCGACGTACGCTCTATTGAAGGATGACAGCTCATCGACAGCCAACCGACAGCCTCAAGTGCCGTTTCTCATTCTCTTATATACTCGTGGTCGATACCACTATTTCCTTGATAGGGATGTTCTCTATATATTACCCTTACGGAGCATAGAGAGTCCCTTACGGTCACCCCTATAACTTTCGACCCGGCCACTAATTTTCCCGCCAAACGTCTAAATCCACACAACGCTTCCTTCAGAGTGAAACATGCATTGATACAACAAGATTCTCCTGATTTGTAACCATAACCACCAAAAAAACATTACAGTATCATAATGGACTTCAAATGAATGGTTTTACCAAAATGTCATCACGGCTAAAAAAAAGAAGAATAATGACAAACTGTTAAACAAAGTAAATTTTCAGTGTGGTCCGATAACGGAGTTCTCACAGGATGAAATGATGTATTTACTAAAATCCATATGATATCAGACTTTACAGTTGATAAAAAGTCAACGCATGACATACATTTGCGGAAAAAGTGAAATTAAAAGTATGTAAAACTTGGAGGACTATTTATAGTGCAATGTACTGTGTTATTGAAATTAGCCAGTGGGAAAATATTGGATATATAGTAAAAATGTTCAATTATCGGCTTTAGCGCATGCGTCCGGACTTACATGTGATACACGGTATTGCAAGAACTCTAAAATAGAGCTAACGTGGCTACATGGTTCAAGTTAATTTTTTAATTAGAATTTTGTAGGATTTAGTACTTAAAAACATTTGATTCAAGTGAATGTGGTCGAGTGCTTGTTTTCGCTGTTCATGATACATCAAATATATAATTCTACAGAGTCTTAAGTACACTTTAAGTGTGTAATATATGTCTGTGTGGAGGGGTGCTAATTCCGACGGAGGGAGCTACATAGTCATAGTATTACGTTCCGAACAGTCGAAAATTGAAACATGGATATAGCGAAACGATCAACTAGATTATAAGAAACTATGAAATAAATTCTAAAAAGAATGTGATATAAATAAGAACAAAATTTTAATCCTGTATTTTGTATTTTTCAGTGTTCACTTGGGAGGGCATGATAACAGGACCAGTAAGTATACAGTATAGGTAAAATATAAGAACAAAATGTTCACTTGGGAGGGCATGATAACAAAACCAGTATGTATACAGTATAGGTAAAATAAGAACAAAATGTTCACTTGGGAGGGCATGATAACAGGACCAGTAAGTATACAGTATAGGTGAAATAAGAACAAAGTGTTCACTTGGGAGGGCATGATAAAAGGACCAGTAAGTATACAGTATAGGTAAAATAAGAACAAAGTGTTCACTTGGGAGGGCATGATAACAGGACCAGTAAGTATACCGTATAGGTGAAATAAGAACAAAGTGTTCACTTGGGAGGGCATGATAAAAGGACCAGTAAGTATACAGTACAGGTAAAATAAGAACAAAGTGTTCACTTGGGAGGGCATGATAAAAGGACCAGAAAGTATACAGTATAGGTAAAATAAGAACAAAGTGTTCACTTGGGAGGGCATGATAACAGGACCAGTATATATGTAACAGTAAATATGGTCCGGTAGTAAAATTTGTCCGCCAGACTTTTTTTCCTAGTTAATCAAGTCCATGACCATTATTTTACTAGGAATGTAAGTTCCATGCAGGACAAATTTTCCTAAGAAAATAAGTCCATAGCTAGTAAAATATGTCTGGCACTTATTTTCCTAGGGAAAATTGTCCTAAGACTTGTTTTTCTAGTAATTTTTATTGAATTATAAAAATTATTGAAAATAAAAAAAAAAAACTTATTTTCTTAGTTACGATTGGAAAGTTCCATTATTTTTTTCCAATCAAAATAAAGGACATGAACGTTATAACCTATAGGCATGTTAATGACATGGACATGATGTCCTAGGAAAATTAGTCTAGGGACACAACTCTAAAACAATATTAAAACATAACATTTAAATTTACCTTCTAAAATAAAGGGCATGGACGTTTTTACCTAGGAATATTAATGACATGGACATGATTTCCTAGGAAAATTAGTCTGGGGACATGAATTTTATTAAAATATCAATGCACAACTCTTTAACAATATTAAAACATAAGAATTGAATTTCCATTGTTTACATGTAAATAATTTGTTTCATTAAAATTTTCCTTTTAAAATAAAGGGCATGGACGTTTTTACCTAGGAATATAATGACATGGACATGATTTCCTAGGAAAATTAGTCTGGGGACATAAATTTTATTAAAAGAATTGATACACAACTCTTAAACAATATTAAAACATAACATTTATATTTACTTTTTAAAATAAAGGGCATGGACGTTTTTACCTAGGAATATTAATGACATGGACTTGAATTCTTAGGAAAATTAGTCTGGGGACATTAATTACTAACATCGGACTAAAAATACAAGTAAATTCTATAACCATTGACTTTTTATACTAGTAATATGTGTCCGCCCGGACATATTTTACCAGGAAAAATTTATCTCTTACATATGTAATATATACAGTATAGGTATGTTCACTTGGGAGGGCATGATAACAGGACCAGTATATATACAGTATAGGTAAAATAAGAACAAAATGAATGAAATTGTTTTATAGGCATCATCAAATAAAACTAGATGGACAATGTGTAAATAACCCAGAATATTGATTTGATATTTTGTGTATTGTTTTATCATGGCAAGTTACAGATCAAGTTCGAATTTTGTTCCGGTCTGACGATTTTGTGCAGAGTTATGGTCCTTGAACTTAGAAAAATCACTCAAATAATCAGTTTTCCACACTTTTTTTCGTCATGCTTGAAGATCTTGATTTAATAATTGGCATATAGTTTTAAAATGACAAGTTACAGATCAAGTTCAAATTTTGTTCCGGTCTAATGATATTGTGCAGAGTTATGGTCCTAGGACTTAGAAAATTCACTCAAGTAATCAATTTTCCACATTTTTTTTCGTCATGCTTGAAGATATTGACTTGATATTTGTTATATAGTTTACACCATGACAAGTTATAGATCAAGTTAGCATTTTGTTCCAGTACAGTGAATTTTTAACCGGTAGGGACTATGTATTGCCAGGCAATACTCACAGAATGCTTGTTAAATAAAAATACAGATGAATGAAGCGGGATCGGGTGCTTAATTATCTTCACATTATTATCATAAGATAAGATGTGGTATGATTGCCAAAACGACAACTATCCACCTGAGTTCAAATGGCGTGGATGTAAACAATTAAAAGTCACCATACGGCCTTCAACAATGATAAAAACCAATACCGTAAAGTCAGCTATAACATGAAAAATGTAAAACAATTCAAACGAGTAAACTAACGGTCTAATTTAAAACATTTCAAGTTACGAAAAAACAAATATGATAGACACGAACCACTGACAACAACTGAATTACAGACTCCTGACTTCGGACATGTACACAAACACGTTTTTGTTTAGAGACGGGCAGTTTAGTTATAGACATATTGAATAAACAAATATAAAAATAAGAAGTTGTGGTATGATTGCCAATGAGACAACTATCCACAAGAGACCAAAATGAACAAGAAATTAACAACTATAGGCCTTCAAGAATGAGCAAAGCCCATACCGCATAGACAGCTATAAAAGGCCCATTATCGAGAGAGAAAAAACTGTGTTTGCCTTTTACTTGTTTTGTGTTCTTGGATTGTAGTCTCATTGACGTATACACACGTTTCTTATACTCTTGTAAATCAAATATTTATCATGAAATTCATTGCGTATACTATATTTGAGGACTCCATTACAGACGTACAATACGGAAGCTACGATAGCTATGCATTACCATTGTGATATTCATTTGTTATAAAATGTCCTCGGACACTGATGATCTGTACAATATTTTTTATCTTTCAGGACAAAAGTCCATACGCTGGAGGGGTATTTTTCGTACGAATAATGTTTCCAAGTGATTATCCGTTCAAACCCCCAAAGGTTTGTACTTTTATTGTAACATTGTTATTTTGTAGGTAATACATACCCCGATATTAGCCGTATTGTTTTTTTTTTTTTATTATAGCATTTATAATATTCAAATTAGAATTGTACCACGTGACTAAATTCAAAACGGGAAAAATATATATATAGTTTCCTTATTCAAATTATTAAGAATAATCGTGTTTTGTGACTAAGAAAGACACTGTGAAAGATTTAGAAACAACTTATTTATAAAAATCATCAAAACATTTAAAATATCCAACAAATGAGCATGAATAATAGGAAAATTGAATAACCTACTTATCGTATTTATATAAATTTAGGTGTCTGCTTACGGTTAAAAAAAATAACCACTGGACTTTAAGCAAACACTTCTTGCTTAAATTTTCAAACTCACTGATCATTGAATAGATGGTGTATAACAAATCATAGAATTACAAGTACAGAAAAAAGTAGTAAAACTAGCATAAATTATTATGAATATATTGTTGTCACAAAAAAAAAGGATAATCATGCATCAATTGCACTGCCTTACATAAAACCATGCATTCAGAGTTACTATCCAGAAGTATTATTATTGATTGATTGGTTGATTGATTGGTGTATAACACTACTTTCAACACTAGTGTGCTATTTCATGGCGGTCAGTCTTTATTGATGGAGAAAGCCGGAGTGCCCGGAGAGAACTACCGACTTTCGGTAGGAAAACTGACAATCCTAGTCAATTAAGATTGGAGTCGAGTGCACCTGCTTCGTGCGGGATTCGAACTCACACCCTTATAAGTGTTATGAAGTTTCTAGGAAAAGAACGCATTGTATAAATTTATAAGTTAATGAAAAAGAAGGTTGCAATTTTATGTCATATTTCGATGATTAAATGTATGTATTTTTATGATTTTCAGGTAAAATTTACCACAAAAATATACCATCCAAATATTAATGGAAATTCAGGAGAAATCTGTTTAGACTTACTACGGTCACAATGGTCGCCAGCTTTAACTATATCAAAATGTAAGATTGTGTTTACTGTTTGATTTTTTTTACACATCTAAAAATATATAAAGTCGCAAATACCAAAGGGACGAGCAGGATTTCGAAAAAAAACATTTTAACTTTTTTAAATCGATTTTCATCTTTTAATCTGTGATTTCCGTTTAACAATAATACAACAAAGCTTAAGCAGACTGTGAAATCAAGATACATTGCGTGTAAAAATACATTTGAAAGGTCATTATCTTTTTACTGTAGTTGCCTTTTGGTTGTACCATTTACCTTTGATTCCCGATGAATAAAAGAGCAAGTCGCTTTTGTCCGTAAAAGGAGAAGAGCCACCCTCATGACAATTCAAAATCATAAGACGAATAAAAAGACACCACACCATGATGAAAGGGAAAAGGAAATAAAACAATCTGCAGTCGACAAAACGATACAGAGAAAATTTTATGATTATGTTGCACTAAACCCTTCCAAAAACCGTACATGAACTCAGGTGCTACGGAAGGGTGAGCAGTTCATGTTCCACTAGGGATACCCCCGCCTTAAGTGTGAAATTGGTTTATAAACAGTTTTTCATTGACTTAATTTCGTTTATTCAAATAATAATTTAATTTTGGGTGTAACACGTCTTCTGATTGGCTGACAGTGTTTTGTCTATCAGCTCAAAGACATAATTTTGGCATGTGACCGTGGCGTCATTAACGTTTTTTCATGATTTACTCCGACTTGAAATGGAACTTAGAATTAAATTATAAGAAATGACTGTAATATTTTTTCTGTCTATTCGAAATAACATCACAAATGTGGTGCACACTCTAAAATAATCCGCTACGAGGGTTATTCAGTGTGTACCACATTTTTTATGTTATTTCTTCATAGACTGAAAAAATAATACAGTCATTCCTTAAGTATCCTCGTCTCACGATTTTCGTGCTATTAAGAATGTATTGTGACGTCACAATTTTCATTGAAAAAGCATGCATAGTAGGAATTCAAATGATCTGACCATATATTTGTCAAATATTTGAAATTGAAAACCTATCAAATATATCAAATTTAAAAGACATCATTATTTCGTAATTGCAATGGAGAGAAAAATATGGATTGATTGATTGATTGTTGGTTGCTTAACGTCCAGTGGCAAATATTTCATGCATGTTCAGGACGAGAACAAGTTAACAATAAATACAATAGGTAGGTCCTGTAATAGAGGCCGTCCGGGATGAAGGTCGGGGAAATTTGGACTGCCACGGGAAAATGAGGGTATATTGGATAAAGACAGATTTTTAGCCTTGCAACAGGCCACCTACGGACCCCTCAAAGAGTTGTTGCAAGGGTTCTTAACGTGCAAAGAGCGTGGCACTCTCTTTTCACGAGACATCGGATTTAACGTCCCCATTCGGACCGGACGTGACTGCGAACTTGTAAATCCCGCACAGCCAAACGGACGCCCCATTTTAGCGAGGGTTTTACCGCCGGTCGGAGGAAGACCAATGGTGACCATATTTCTATTCCCAAGTCACCCTTGGGGGAGAAAAATATGGAGCACATGTGTTGCGTTGCAAACAAGTCATACGAAAAAGGAAGGCACCATCGCTGTAGTAACCTCAAAGCAAAACACGAATGCAATGGAACTACTGATTTGAATTCACCAACATCGAATTGTTTAAAACTAAAATGTATGACGGAAAAACATGATTCCAAACCTGTTGTGTTCAAATTAATGTATACTTTCTAACAAGTGCTTCCCTTACATATAATGATATGATGATTAATAACGATTCGTTATTATACTTTTACTATATAATTTTTTTAAAAGTAAACTTTACATTAACTATAAACAACAAATATGTGAACTAAGATAATACTTTATAAATGTCGTGCGTCAGAAGCTTTTTTCCTGATTGATAGAAATAAGGAAATGAGGTATGATTGCAAATGAGACAACTATCCACCAAAGTTCAAACGAAAGTGGATGTAAGCAATTATAGGCAACCATATGGCCTTCAAGAAAAACCCGTACCTTATAGTCGGCTATAAAAGGCCCTGACATTAAAAATATGGAATAATTAAGAAAACTTAGGTCTACTTTGTAACGGAACAGTTTACGAAAACCAAATATGACAGACATGAACCTCCGACAACCATTGAAATACAGGCTCCTAATTTGGGACAGGCACATTAGGGGATTAAACATGTTTGAAGGCGCCAACCCTCTCCTAACCTGGGACAGTAGTTATCTCCATCAGGGACGCTCAAACCTAAACATTGGGAAGCCAGGATTGAATCAAAACTTAGACATTTAGCATTTATATGACCGACCAAAAGGTACATATACCGAATAGCCAAATACATCTAAGGTCAACTTTGCCTGGGGGAAGTCGGGAACTCAGTTTCATAATAATTTCTCAATTAGTATGAGGAAATTTTTGACATGTTTATTTTACCAATACACGTACATGTACTGCCATAACTTACTATACTTACCTGAAATATAAACATGCAATTGCTTTTTTAATAAATATGTTTTTTTTTTCTTTTTTAGTATTACTCTGTATAACATCTTTATTAACGAGTCCAAATCCTGACGACCCACTTGTTCCGGACGCTGCAAAACTTTATAAATTGGATGTGAAAAAATACAATAAAACCGCGACAGAATGGACACGAAAATATGCCATGTAATGTGGTCGACTATAGTGTTATATAAATTGTTTTCCTTTAACTTTGTATGACGGAACTTTATTATTTTACTGTTGTTTATAAAAGAATGTTTTGTATTGTTAAATTTCTCCATTTTAAGTGAATAAATGTTCGTTTGCGAAGGTTTTATGGACTTATTTATTTGTTTTATATATTTGAAATAAAAATTGTAGTATATTCACTATTTTATGCATATTGCGTTAAATTTTCACAAAACTCGCCATCTTCTTTTTTGTTGTCTTTTGATTGAATTCAATAAGAATATGTATATACATTTATTATATATGATTGATTGTTGATGATTAATGCCTCTTTTAGCCATTTTTGCTATAACGTGGCGGCAAGTTTTTATTAGTGGAATAAAAAAACTCATCAAAGATACCAGGATTGAAATTGTTCACGCCAGACGCGCGTTTCGTTGCAAAAAACTCATCAGTGACTCTCGAATCATCTGGTTTATAAAGGTACCAAATAAATTACGAAGTTGAAAAGCGTTGAGGACCCACAATTCAGAACGGTTTTGCCAAATATATTTAATGTAATATATTCCTGAGTTAGAGAAAGCCGGAATGCAAAAAAAAATCTGTCGGCAGAGAAAAATTACATTCCTCTGCAATTAAGATCGGCGTCAAATGCACCTGCCGGATGCGGGTTCTAACTCACAACTTCAGTGTTGACATGTTAGTGAAGTTTTAAGACCACACGGCCATCGAGATCCTTTTTCTGTTGATCCACATGTTGTCCAGTGTAGGCATTTTTTTTAGTGCATATATAATTAAAATGTCTTGATAGGGAGTTGTGAATTCTTACATGGTAACGTCAAAGAATACTATTACATTTTTTTGCTAATTTTCTGAAAACTAAACATACATAATTTTCATTTTCAAAAAGTATTTTTAGTACTTTAATTGATTGTCCCCGAGTATATCACCAGCCATGTAGTTAACACGTATTGAACAAATAGTGTTTATAACTGTTTTGATACGAGCGCCACCGGTCAGTCGTACAAATTATAAGCCTGGTATCTTTGATAAAAGTTTTAGATATTTTCGTTGATGTCACTGCTGCTGCATGTTTCGTCCTCGCTATAACCAGGGTAAATCATATTACATGGTGCACCGTGCATCCATCTTTAATATCACTAAAAAGCAACCTGCGCAAATGCGGATATGAAGGATACCTTGAGGATATTTAGGAAACAACCATTTGATATTCGGCCGGTGAGGGAGGGGTTGAAATCTATTTTTGTTATGCGGGGGAGAACGGAATACTCATTTACACCTGGTGCTACTTTGGGGTTTTTTTTGGCGGCGAAAATTTATTTTCGATTTTCGCTTTTATGTATAACTGTGTACTTCTTTATGTGGGCATAATATTCATTTCCATCTTGTATGAGGGTATAGATGGGGGGATTCCTTCATTTTTGTATTATTTATTTTTTTAGTCCAATTGTCTCTATTCTTTATACTTTTTGCCCATCATTTTCTATTCATGATATATATGCACCGCATTATTTTCTATATTTTATTTGTTTGATCCATTTTCTCTATTCTTTTGTATTTTTTGTCCATTATTCTCTATTCTGTAAACCTCCATCCACACCCTCGTGTAGTTGGTTTTTTTTTGTGTCTAACAGGCCTTACTATTAAATTCAAAAACTGTTAAACTTGGTCGATTCAAAAGTAGACAACACTAATACCATCAAAGCGTATCATTAAAATAAAAAAATAGTTAGTTATAAGTCATATTGAAATAGAGTAATTATCAGACTTAGCAACAGAAAAACAAAACTAGATAGTCCTTAAATCTAGGTACTTAGTATGAATATTTGTGACGTAAAAGACATTTCAGAATTTACTATGGGTGGGAAATGTTGTTTTCAAAATTGCTTACAAAATGAATTTGTAAATAAATGCAATAATGTTTTTAAATAAATGCTTAAAGGATATTTTGTATTCTAATACAAGCTCAACCTCCAGAATCTTAGCTATATTCTTTCAATTTGAGCTACGCTTTTTCAGTAAATCCTGAAAAATCTTTCCTTTGGTATTATATAGATAACGTGAGGGTGACCAAATTGCACCTATTTTGACACTTTTTTTCACCTACGTTTATGTATGATCTAGACAAAAGTTTCCATTCTGTGTTTGTTTTTATATGTATCCTTATTTACTATATAGTTCCACCAATTCAATTTTGAATCCATATTGAATCGTAGAAAATTGGGTTTGAACAGACCTCCAAACGATCCATATGATTCTGTAATGAGGAGTACCAATTGCATCCATGCTTAAATTCACATCCTTATAAATCGAAAAACAGATGGTTTGTTTTATTTCTTTAAATATTTAGAACAATTTGACATTAGTCCATGCTTACTATTAATTTTTATAGAAATAGATGCTCGTAACATATTTTATTTGCTCTTTTTAAAAAGATGACTTTTTGTGATACGTCGCATAGCGACGTTTCTTAGTAAACACTTCATCTGTTTATATTTGATGTGAATGTTTTGTGTATATCTAGACATATTTTATCGATTTGAAAGATATGCATAATGTCAAATAATGAAAAAATACAAATGGTTTAGTCCCTAAGAAAACTTGCAAGATTTTCGCTACTTTATTTTTGCTAAATAGGTGAAATTTTGGTACTGTGAAGAAATATTTCATTGACCATAAGACAATATATATGCACCGTTCGCCGTTCTCCCAAAATACATGTTTTAACAATATCACACTCAATTTGATTTACAATAATTGACAAAAAGTTAGATATGTATTCTAAAAATAATTTTTGTTTTCCTGATCTTTAAATTCTTTTCTTTTGATTTCTGTGGAGTCATGACTTAGTTACCGAAAATATTTACAAATGGCGGAAAGTCGATTGAAAAAGGTAATTAATTGAACATAAATAACGAAACCTGATATCAATATGTATACCAGGAAACATAAATAGTATAGCCTACATTCAACAGACACCAATCAAATTACATGTAAGTTTTATTAGAAACCGTAGATTGTATTGACATACAACAATCACACGAAATGTTATTAATATATTTCGTTCCCAATAATGACAAGGCTAACATAGAATAACGGTAAAATGCATTAATTGTCTAATGTCTCAAAATCCATAATAAATTGAGAAATTTCGACAGGGTGCAAAATTGCTGAGGACATCAAAATCTAATTTCTACTTCCCATTTCCACCATTTGCATATTATTTCAAAACATTAAATTGTGAGACAAAAACTCTAAACAACAGAAGGGGTTATAAATAAAACAATTAGAAAAAAAGACCCAAACCTTGGGAGGACTCCTTATAGGCGTATTTGCCCTTTTTGTCCATAATCTAGAAAACTAAAATACATACTTTTAACTGGCTGTTTCTGTATTGGTCCTTTCATATATTCAAGGTTAGCTGTATTTGGCCGGATACTCGAAGAGTCGACGTCCAATACAGCTGATCGAGAATCGTTAACAAGGCCAATGTAGAAACAGCCAGTTCACAACACTTTTATCGAATGATTTTAATTCTTCGAGTAAACTAAGAAATTTACCTTGAAGAAAATGCAAGAATTCATATTTGAACTTTCCTTTTCGCAGTCACGATGCATTTTTGGCAATACTTAATCTATGCTTATTCAATCCAGTATATCTAACGAAATACAAAGTATCTGGCAATCAGACATTTTAACCATTCTTACTCTGGCAAAAACTTTTAAACAACAATAGATATCAACAATACAAATTCTCCAGACATGCTTAGTGACCTATACGTATACCATTAGACGACTCTTTGCAAGAGATTAATTTGACCTCAAATTACAATTTTGAATATTTGTTTGTGTTTTTGCCAAATGTTATATATGATAGATTGGAAATAACAGTAAACAGCAAAATATAGCAGCAATACAATATCTACAAATTACCAATAATACAGAGCACATTGGAAGACATCCTCCAAAATGAGTTAAAAAGAAGCGGGAGATACCATGACGATTTTTGACTAATTTCCTATATCAGAAAGTACGATACGACATAACCCATCATCATGTCTAGGAGACAGATTTGTAAAAGCAACTTTGCTTGTCTCTAAATTTTAGAGATTTATTTCAAGTGTATAATATCTTTATGTGATGATTTGTTTGAATAAATACTGTTTAAACTAAATTGTTCGAAAGATTTAGCAGCAATTAGGATCAACAATATAAGACCTACAAAAATGCAAATATGACCTACACCAAAGATTGAATGACTTCTTATCATGTAAAAATAAGAACGAACTGTAAAAAGCGGTTGGAAATTGCTTGACTCAATAGATCACAGAAAGCAACTTATATAAAGACAAACGACACAAATCACCAATGTAAAAGTAATCGCAGATACTAAAAACTAGTTCAAAGACTATTACAACTTATAAATAAATCATGTTTTCTCTGACTAAAGTATCAATTAGAACACCTCTAACGGATTTAGTGTAAGGCCGTCATAAATTGATTGAGAAAGCATGACCTTGTTCGATGTCAAAACATAAGTACATAATATTGACAGAATGTAGGACCCTAAGTTCTCATAAATGTACAGCAATATGATCAGTTCAGTGTTTTTTATTAATCAGAAACAAAATAATGTTAAAACCGATAAAACAACATTCAAAGATCTTACTACGATGTTTAATTGAAATCCTTCAAGAATTTTAAAGTTTATTCTAAGGATGAATGAGTTTGCATGGATCGTATCTAAATATACGGGCTTTATACACAACATTTCCGTAAATATTAGGATATGATATCCCGTTTTCAATGGTTACAGCCAAACTTTAAAACAAAATCTTTATATCTATGAAAACATTCAGTTTAAGTTTTAAGTAATTTATATTAACGAAATCCCTGACCTAAAACGTCACTATAGACACGAGCATAACGAACGAGATGGAACTATACACTACATAAGAAGGGACCAAACAAACATCACCGCCCACAAAAGGTAAAAAATACAATGGGGAACGAAATATCGTCTCTTTTGTCGTAAATAATTGTTTTGATTTTCCCTTGTGAAGCTGAAGTATACAAATCTTTCCGAGGCCAATTATTCCTGTTTATAGTTTAGATTTATTGTCCTTAAATTAAAATGTTCGTCTTTTTTGCGTAATACCTGGAAACGAAGAATAGATTGATTTATAACAGACGGCGAGTGGTTCATGCTCGTAGGAGCCTCTTGTTATTTCCTAATATTGCCAATTTCCATTGCTCCTTTATCGATACAGTCATGACAGTGTCTCTAACTGTTTCCATTTTTGATAGACCTACTTTGCATTAATAAGATGTGAATATTTTCTTTCAGGAACTTTTAGACATTTCTAGATACCCTCCTCCGAGTTCTTCAGCAGGACTATTAGGCGAGGATTGTAAGCTTGAAACTAGATTTTTAATAATTATAGGCAAATATCATTCAGTAGTTGCATATAGTCTGAGTCAATGACTGTAATGAGTAAAAAGACACCATTAATAAATTGTTTATTTCAAATTATTTAATTGTTTTCCGATATGGGAACTGTTTCACATTAAACAAAAGGAGATAGGGATGAGGTCAATGAAACAGCAACTCATCGACATACATAACAAAAAGATACCAAGAGGGCATTTTAATGTCTTCTACACCATGCAGATATCTATACATCATATCCCTAAATTGTCTCGGGTCTATAAAATAATACATGAGAGGCTAGCAAGAATTACAATACAACAACTGAGACCATAACATATCATCATATCACCGTCTCCTCCAAAATTATTGACAAATAAACACACACACATCAACGAATCATATAGTCCCGATATCATGATTTATACAAGCACAAATATATAGTGGATGGTTCAACAAAAAGCAAACTATTTAAAATCTGTCATCACACCAAAATTTCCTCTACCATTAATGGCGTTCATTGATTGGGATAGGCACATGGTCTCGATGTATAATAGAAATATACATTTACTGTACTCGGAGCTGATATGGATTAGTTAGGATAACTTTTATTGGATAATTAAGCCAGTTGGTAAAATGTAAAAGCATACCAAAATATTTAAAAACCGTAGCTTGTAGAAGCTTAAAGAATACCTAGAACATTTTTCGATACATGTCTTTGACTTTGTTAGTTGTCTATTCATCTGAGGATCTATTTCTCTCATAAATTCTTTAATTATAAGGTATGAATTGTCCACCTTCCTGATAGAATCTGTATTGAATTAAGATAACATACAGCTTTGAATATTAGAGAACTGTGTTTTAAATAAAAATATGTAAACAAATGTAAAAATATAGGAAACAGAGTATAAGTAAATAATACGAATAAAATGAGATTTTTGGTAAAAAGTAAAATCACAAAAGTATTGAACTCCGAGGAAAATTCAAAACGGGAAGTCTCTAATCAAATGACAAAATCAAAAGCTCAAACATATCAAACGAATTTACAACTGTCATAAAAACGTCAATGAGACATGAACCCAACGATAAAAATATTAATCCTTTATTTTGGATTTTCAGTATGCACATGGCAAGGAATGATAGCGGGACCTGTGAGTATAAGCTTTCTCATAAATGAGTTTAAAATGATTTAAATCGGTAAAGGAATCGTAAATAAAGGTTAAATGGATAACCCTTATTAATGGGGGTACCAAACACTTCGACTAAAATAGATTTGACTCGTTTACTTTTCATAAAATTTTCATAAAATATTTATTTTGACTTGTTGACAAAAATATAGAAATTTCTAAAAAAATTAAACCACACAATTTACAGGAATTATTTGGAAGTATAGCAGTTTGACAAAGAATAATTTTGATCATTGATTAAAACGTTCAGCCGATGTTTAAAGAGTTAATTCCCTTAGGTGTTTTGTACCCCTTTAATTTTTTGTCTTGTGGAAATAAACTACGGAAGAAAACATAAGAAGCTTCAATCGGTTTTTTTCTATATTCACAAAGACTTATTGTATTACTCAATTAATGATGTTAAGGAAAGTTAAGGTCTATATGTCTCGCCCTTGCATCTATTCGTCGAGAATGGAAGCCTATCTGACCTGAAAAATATAAAACAGCGAATTGTATAGATTAACCAGTGCTGATGATGCTGATGATATATATAAATAAACTCATCATAGATACCAGGATTGAAATTTTGTATTTGCGCAAGACGCGCATTTCGTCTACAAAAGACTCACCAGTGACGCTCGAATAAAAAAAAAGGGCCAAATTACGAAATTGAAGCGCATTGAAGACCAAACATTCCTAAAAATTTTGCCAAATACAGCTAAGGTAATCTATTCCTGAGGTAGAAAAGTCTAAGTATTTCAAAAATTCAAAGTTTTGTAAACAGTTAATTTATAATTATGACCATATCAATGATAACTCATGTCAACACAGAAGTGCTGACTACTGGGCTGGTGATACCCTCGGGGAATAAAAACTCCACCAATAGTGGTATCGACGCAGTCTTTATTTATTGTTATAGGATGAAAGTCCTTACCATGGAGGAGTATTCTTCTTACTTATATTGATTCCAAGTCGTTATCAAATGAAACCACCATGGGTAAGTATGCCTATTCTAATATTACTTATCTAATGAATGTTAAAATGATATCCACCTGGCATTTTCTAACATAAAAGTGTTTTGCTTACCAGTACTAAAACGTATCAGAAGATATAAAAAGGACACATTTTGATAGTAATTGCCTTCCATTAGTGTAACAATAAACATGAATTGTAAAAATTATAGAAGATATGCTTCCCAAGTTTTTAGTAACAGTTCCTTGAATTATCTGATATCTTCTTTTTCTGATTTCAGGTAAAATTTACCACAAAAATTTACCATCCAAATATTAATCAGATCTCAGGAGAAATAAATTTGAATATACTGCAGTCAGATTGGTCGCCAGCTTTAAGTATATCAGCAAGTAAGATATAAAATAAGAAATAAGAAATGATTGCCAATGAGACAACTATTAAACAGGGTCCAAATGAAGCAGATTTTAACAAATATAAGTTGCCGTAGGGCCATCCAAAAATTAGCAAACTCGATACCGTATAGTCAACTATAAAGGACACCGAAGTGACAGTATGTTAAAGAATTTAAACGAAAGAAAACAACGGCCTAAATTATAACTTAGTTATAAAAGAACAACAACAGAAAAGAAAAGACAAACAGACAGGCAGACAGCAAACAACGACAACCACTAAACTACAGGCTACTGACTTTTGATAGACACATATAGAATATAAAGTATCATAAATGATCACTGATATGTTCTTATTTGCCTGTTTTTGTATCCACAATCGCTTTATTTTCTCCGTATTCAACTTATCACTGTATTTTAGCTTGCCATTAACAAAACGACATCTGTTGCTATAGGAACAGGACTTACTGCTTACCCTATCGGATCACCTTAGGTTCATTTTAATGTGTTTCGTTTTACTCTAGTATTCAGTACTGTATTTGGTACTCTTATTTTTTAAATGCTTGTAATGTTTCTACTGGAAATAGTCATAAAAACATATTTTCCATTACAAACTTCCTATTTGGTCAGGTTTCGGGTTTAAGAATGTTCTTGTATCGATTGTTTAGGAATTTGATGATGTGTTAGGGTTAGAAAAGTTAGATATGACACATTCATAAATCAGGTATTTTTCTAATGGACCTATGTTTTCATTCGCCTCTCTTCTAATTGTGTGACTCATCAATGTATTGACCAAGGGTTTCACGGCGGTTGTATCTAGTGAAGCAGTTCCTGTTCTGCTTGGCGTCATGGTGCTCAATTGTTTTGTTACTATGTAATACGGTTTTTATATATATCAAAGCGTACGAAAATACCTAAGAAAGGCTTATCTGGTCCCGTTCCTCCCCATGAGTTATGTTCAATAGATTTTCATATTTAATAAGTTTAAAAACTAATAGCAGTGTAAGTATATGATGTTTGAATAACTATATATGATAAAATATAACGTATGCACCTAAGATGCATATATTTTCTGAGATGAAAATGAAAATAAAGCAAATGTGAACAGTAAGTTTGCGCACATGTGTCAAACATATTTTGTGCGAATTAAACACGACTTTTTTTACCAAGCGAAATAAGGACGGCATATTTCGAAATTCTTTGAATACATTTTAAATAACTTGTATAAACTATAATATTGAATAGTCCTCTTAATAAATGATATTGAAAACACAAAACTTTGCATGCTTGTAGTTTCAACTGAGAATATATCTAAAGTACAATATGTGTTTAACATTTGATTCATGATTTCATTTTCTATTTCAGTATTACTAAGTATAACATCGTTATTGAGTTCTCCATTTCCAAACAATTTACATAAATCAGAAGCTGCACATTTATATATATCAGATAGGAAAAAATACGATGAAATAGCTGCGGAATGGACACGAGTATATGCTATGTAATATGGTCATCAGTTTTGCTGTATACATCATTTAAGTTTCATTTTGTAAAACGAAACTTTGACACATCTTACTTTTCTTTTTAGCGGTGGTTTCCGTTACAAAGTTTTAGTATTTATTTAAGTTTTTGTCTTATTTATATATTAAATATATTTGCCGCTGTGCACGGACTTGATTTACTTTCATTTTCTCTTGCCTTCTACGTAAAGTGTAAGCATTGTTTATACGAGAGGCAGAATTCACCATAGAGATATTCAAACTTATGAGTTGATGACAAACTGACAACACCATAGATTGAAACAGAAAAAACGACTAAAAGGCAAACCAGAGTATACAAAACACATCATCATCGAAACATAGAGACTGAGCAGCACGAACACCATCACAACACCGGGTGTTTCAGAAAGGTAAGAAGATCCTGCACCACATGTGTTACTTGTCGTGTTGTTCATATAAGTACAAACTAGATGACCAATCTAGTTCGATGATGTTACATTTGAGGAAAAGATGGCTTGATTGTGATTTAGACAATTGGGACATATCCGTCGTAATCGGTGAAACAGAGATTGCATAACGTTCCACCAACTGGTGATAACCATCGTAAAATTGTCGAAGGGATGATTTCAACTTAACTACTTATAACTTTTGAATTAAAAACTTCCATGTAAGCAGTAAATCTCTATCAAAGAAATCTTGATGGGGAAAAATTATCAAATACCAGAATATTTTATTCCATCCACAATACGAAAATGAAATAAGCTTCATTTAAAATTGGTAACATCAGCTCTGCTCTGAATAAACCAAAGTAAAGTTACAAAAGAGGGGCGAAAGATACCAGAGGGACAATCAAACTCATATATCGAAAATAAACTGACAAAGCCATGGCTAAAAAAGACCAAGACAAACAGACAAACAAAAGTACACAGGAAACAGCATAGAAAACTAAATTAAACACGAACCCCACCAAAAACTTGGGGTGGTCTCAGGTGCGTCGGAAGGGAAAGCAGATCCTGCTCCACATTTGACACCCGTCGTGTAGCTCATGTTATAACATAAAATTACAAAGTAGTATCTGTACGGTCCGTGGAAACTGAATATTATCTTAACTCAGTTGCTATGTTCCGACTCATTTTTTAACTTTGACCTTTTCAAAGCTAACATTATACGGGATCTTTTCTGTCAGTGTGGGTCTGATATTGAGGATATTCATTATTTCTTTGTCGTTTGACCCCAATACAGTACATGTATAGAAATTAACTCAATATTATTTTTCTATGTGTTGTTAGTTAAGTGTTTGCAATTAGCGTGTAGGTTTCTATTCGTCATATGAGTTTTGAATGTTCCCCAATTTTGTTCAGCCTCTATTTCTTAAATACTTTTAACGTGTGTTATGTGCGTTACGTAAGGGGTATTTGATACATGAAAAGACTACTAAAAGCGATTGTAATCATGTAATTCCATTGCTGGTTTATTCATATTTGTTTTTATAAATCACTTATAAGTAATCTGCGCATGGAGAATACCTTTGTTTCTTTATGAAAGAGTATGTGATATTCAGTCGAGAAGTTGGGGATAGAGATTTTTAGGGGAGGAGATACCCATTTTCACCTGTTGCTAGTCCGGCTTGATTTTTCGCCATGCGACAATAACGTTACCTTTGTACACAACTATTCTTGCATTTTCATGGCAGAATATTCTTTATTATCTTGTCATTAATTGTTTAAGTCTTTACCAGCCCAGAATATTCATTTCGACATCCTCCTGTCTCCCCCTCCAGAAGATCGAATGGTTATTCCCTTTATTTTTTTAAATATCCGTTTGAATAAATTTATCAAGCAAATGAAATAGTCTTGTAATTAAAAAAAATCATCGTTGATAAACGAAGACAATTTAAAACAAGGAAATAATTTGTTCTTGACAGTCAATAACATCAAAGAGTTTGTTTAATACCCGAATGTGATAATTACTAGTTAATTATTAATTACACGGAAAACAAAAGGGTCGGAAAGGCTGAACAGCAGTTAAACACAACTGGATACTTCCTTACATCTGAGTACGTGACGTCAAAGAATTTAAAGGAATTTCTAAGTTTAGGGAACAACCATTTTATTTCAAGGGGTGGGGGTGTTAGGGGTCATGGTTTTTTCCTAATAAAAATATTCTGATCCCTAATTTGATGATAAAGAAAAATATTCTGTTGAAGCAGATGTCAACAAAAAGATTTTGAAAGCATATTCCCCCCATACTGCATAGTGTTCATTTAAAATTTAAATTTGATTGATAATGTCGAAAAATTTCATAAATTTGTTCGCACTTTGCGTGAAAAAAATTCTCGAAAAATTACCATACCCCCCTCTTCCAGTAACAGCCAAGAAATTTCCAGAAAATTCGTAAAACTTGTTTATTTACTATAATCATATTATAGATATATATGAATTATTCGGTGTACCGTAACAAATATTTAATGAGTAAATTTATGTACCGTTCGCGTCTTTTCCCTTTTTTATTTTTAATATTACTCTCAATTTGATTTATTTATGAAAAATGTATATTCCTATTCTAAAAATAGTACCGGTAGTTTCCTGATTCTTCAATTATTTATTGACCTTGTCAATGCGATTTGGGTCATTATTTGTTTCAAAGAAAATGTAAACAAATGGCTGAAATTCGACTGAACAGGGTAAGTTATTTCATTTTTTCATACAATCAAACAAAACGAAAACGAAAACAACACCAACTTAAAATTACTTTCATCATTTGATATATATTAATAATTCAGATTCAGATTCAATATTTTATAATAGTCTCACTACTTGCCATACATGAATATACAGTACATACAGATTATATACACAATATAAAACAGACAATTTACAAATATAAATTACAAGTACCATTCTATTAGGAATTATGAGAGACTGTACAATAAATTATATTAAAAATTATTATAATACATATGACTGTGAAAATAATTTCATTTTAAGAATAAAGAAGGTGTTTCTTCTACTTCAAATATTAAAGCAGGTTTGGGCAACCATATCATAACAATTAATATTTTGAAACAAGTACACAAATATCATCATCATCAGACAAATCATAAAAATCTACATTTTTCTTATATAATAGTTTATAAAATAATGTGTTTTTTTAGATATTTAAACATAGATTTAAACAAGTGGCAAAAGAGATGTGAAGATACAATATCGATAATAAACTGACAACGCCATTGAAAATGCAAAAATACAAAAAAAAAAACATTTTATAAGGCTTATTGCTTTAAAATGAAATTTTTGATTACTTTTTGTGTATTTTTGCCTTTTCATCTTAAACACAGTTTTTTTAAACGGGCAGAAACTTCAAACAATATTTGTAAATTAAATCAGACAAAACCGGTTGATTAAATGTAAAAGCATAATATTTGAGAGACATATGGCAACTACTATATATATTTTTAGCTTGTACAATTTAAGAGATATTTCTGTCATTAAAAAGTAAAATCACAAAAATACTGAACTCCGAGGAAAATTCAAAACGGAAAGTCCCTAATCAAATGGCAAAATCAAAAGCTCAAACACATCAAACGAATTAATTTATTTCTGTCTATAAATGTGAAAGTGTTTAACAAAGTCACAATGAGGAAGTAAATGAATTTCAGCCTATCCTATAAGTTTAAGTGGGTCGACGAACAATACACACCGCTTATAAAACCTGATTGTTAAATCCCGAATTTGTTAACTGTAAGTAGTAAGTAGCAATTACACAGGAAACAAAAGGATTTGAAATGATGTAGTTACTAGACTTAAGAACACTTAAACACAACTGAACTGGAAAAGTGCTTCTATCTAGTATGACTATTTGTAACGTCAAAAACATTCCAGGCTTATTTTATATTTTATATTTTTTTTTGGAAACTTTTAAAAAGTAAATACAATATACACTTGTAATTAAACGCACAACCTCATCAATTTAAAAAAAACAACGGGTGTTTTGTATCTCTTAAGGGAAATACCACGCAATTTAAAAAAAAATCATGAAAATCTGTTAGTATAGTTGATACATAAATAAAGGCAACAGTAGTATACCCTATTCAAAAGTAAAAAATCGATCGAGAGAAAACGATTCCGGGTTACAAAATAAAAGCGACGGAAAACAACAAAACAACAGAACTCTGGAGTGGCAAGAATTTTTAGAGATATCGTACAATTATCAATATAGTTCCTGCGAATGCGATATATTTTTCTTTTTCAATATTAGTCTCAACTGATTTACATCTAAAATGTGTAAATTCTAAAAATAATATCGGTGGTTTTCTGACCTTTCATTTATGTGTATGTTTTGAATATCTTTTATAAGAATACGACGTTTTTTTATAAATGTATACAAATAGCGGAAAATCAATTGGAAAAAAGTAAGTAAATATATTATGTACAAAACCCCAACATATCGATTTGCAGCAATACGAGATCGACAAATCTGTACAGTAAAAAAAAATTAAAAATAAAGGACTCCTAATAAGAGATTTTGCCTTTAAGGATGTTCGCTCCTCATGTTTTTGAATTTTTGCCAGATATTCGGAATCCTCTGGTTTTATCCATGTAGTGCCATTAAAAAAAATTGCCCATTAGCCCCTACTTTTCTTTCCATTATTTGATTGAACATAGTTTAAACTATCTTCTTTGAAAATCTTATAAAATCCTTGTTATTTTTTCATCGATTTTGACAGAAAAAAAGTTGTCAATGTTAAATATATGAAAAGTCTAGAGAGAATTATTTCCCGCCAAATTTTCAATGGCCTATATCTCGAAAACGAGCACACTGACCCATAATGTTTTTTTGCTTTTTTCGTTTCTTTATTTATATACTATCAATATAAAATAGTCTTTTTAAAAGCTTGCTATTTTGAAACTGAGTAGCGAACTTCCCTAAAGACAAGAAGATAGCAGGACGAATGTAGACATTCGAGTGATCGTTTCAACTATATTGAAAACTATAATATATTTAACAAAGTCTACATAATTAGAATATTCCTTCAAAAAGGTAGTTGTACTTCAAAAACAATCTGTGACTTATTCTCGGGTTTTTGCTTATTATTTCAAATAAAAGCTTCAGTAGTTTACTGCTGTTCAATAGTTTTAATCGGTTAAGCGTAAACATACCCGGGTCACAAACCAAAACCGAGGGAAACACATCAGCTAAAATAGAAAAACAACATAACAACAGAAACACTGAAACACTGAAATGCAACAAAAGCAAACGCAAACATACATAGAAACAGATTATTTGATAACAACCATTTCTGTATACATTTTTGACTGGTGTCGATTCAGGGTCGTATGATCCTCGTTTTCATGTCCAGCATCTTCAGTTTTTATTGCAGTGTCTCTAATTCAACAATTGATATTATATTAAAATGATGTGCAATCTTTCTTAAAGGAATTTATAGAAATTTCCAAAGATCCGCCTCCAGGTTGTTCAGCCGGCCCATTAGATGATAACAGTAAGTTCGAAACTGTTGTTTTATTAATTATAGAAAATTACTGTTAATAGGGTTTCCTCATGGACAAGGTCTGATTCTGGTATCAGATTAAATGCACGACATGTTTTTGACAGATGATAATGGATATGATCCAAAAGTAGTAACTACAATAACGTCCCTTTTTTCAAATGTGACTTAATACCGGGTTTGTACTAACATGATCAAAACGTAGGGTGCCACATGTGGAGCAGAATCTGCTTACCCGTCCGAAGCATCTGATCTCACCCCCAGTTTTTGGTGCTTTGCATGTTGCTCAGACTTTAGTCTTTGATGTTGTCTTTTGTGTACTATTGTTAGTTGTTTTTGTCTTTTTTTCTTTTTTAGGCATGGCGTTATCAGTTTGCTTTCGACTTATGAGATTGAATGTTCTTATGGTATCTTTCACCTCTCTTCTATAAATTGTTCATTTGAATCTATTCCCGATTGTTCCGATATAGGACATGTTTCACAGTATTTGAGAAAAAAAAAAATCACAAAAATACTGAACTCCGAGAAAAATTCAAAACGGAAAGTCCCTAATCAAATGGCAAAATCAAAGGATAAAACACATCAAACGAATGGACAACAACTGTCATATTCCTGACTTGGTATAGGCATTTTCAAATGTAGAAAATGGTGGATTGAACCTGGTTTTATAGCGCTAAACCTCTCACTTTTATGACAGTCGCATCAAATTCCGTTATTTTTACAACGATGCGATAACAAAACAGACATAATCGGTAAAATAGTCAAAATATGGTTACAGCAGTCATCACTATGTTACAATCTCAAGACAAACAAATATATGAAAGGATACGCAGCGATAGGGTCTATGAAACATCAACTTCTCGACACATATATAAAAAAGACACTTAAAGGGCAATGTAACGGCTCAAACTATAAAATCGCCGTTTAACACATTCATTTCTAAACTGTCTCGAGTCTATAAAAGTTCTAATATGACTGGGACTGTTATAATACTACTTCAAAGAGGAAGTCAGACTTCAAAAACAATGTTAGACTTTTTTTTCGAGTTTTTGCTTATTATTTCCAACTTATATGGCGGTGTTTAAAATACCGCTAAAATGACAACAATGCGTGACGTGAATACAGTACAAATAAACGCAAAAATTCCCAGGACAGAGAAATACATAGACAAATAATATGAACGTACATTACATATGTAAACCACAGATTAAGAATGGACACTACCCATGAATTTACGACAGTACACCATGACACTACAATATAATTGATAACCCTTGCGTGTATAAGCTTAAGACGATCACTGACGACATACTTTCAATGATTGGGACAGACATGGTCGCGATAATGATAAAAATAAATATTTGCTGAATCTGGAACTGCTAGGATAAGTTATGACAAATTTAATCAGACAAATGTTGATTAAATGTAATAGCATGATATTTGATATATATATTATAACTAATATGTATGATTTTACTCTGAACAATTCAATAGAGAGCTAGACATTTTTGTAGTATCTGTCTGTGAAATTGTTTGTTGTCTTTGATTCTGAGTATCTGTATTTCTTTCACAAATTCTATAATTATAAGGGATACATGATTACCTTTCTTTTACAATCTGTATTGAATTAAAATTAACCACAGTTTTCAACTTGTTTAATGAATAGTCATATAAATATTACAAAAAAGAGATCCCAAGCCAACGATAAAAGTTTTAGTTCTGCATGTGTTCTTTTCAGTATTTGAATGGAAAGCCATGATCGCAGGGCCAGTGAGTATAGAATTTGTCTAGAATAAGTTTAAATAGAATAAATCGTTACAGTACTTGTTTATAAATTTATAAATGTCATAATGGATAACTCGTATGCATTTGTTGTCTTATGGAAATAAAATACAAAAGAGAAATACCAAGATGATAATTTCACTTTAAAAAACATGCATTGTCTAGATACAACATCAGTTTTGCTTGATTATCGATGGTGAAGTCTGTACGATATTAGTTATGGAATGACTGTAATATTTTTTCTGTCTATGAAGACATAACATAAAAAATGTGGTGCACAATAAATAACCTGCGTTTTTATGTTATTTTGAATAGACAGAAAAAATATTAGTCATTCCTTATGATTTTTTAATTCTAAATTCCATTTTCGGAGTAAATCATGAAAAAACTTTGATGACGTCACCCTCACATGACAAAATTATGTCTATGAGCTGATAGACAAAACACTGTCAGCCAATCAGAAGACGCGTTACATCTAAAATTAAATTATTCGAGAATGGAAACCTTTTTAATCCAAGTTTAAAATATTAAGATTGCAAACACTTTATTGTGCAACTTATTATACAAATTTAACTATATTAATAACACAGTTAATATATCTTATTTGTAGTATGATGATACGAAAAGTCCTTACGCGGGAGGAGTTTTCTTCTTAAAAATGATGTTTCCCTATGATTACCCTTGGAAACCCCCAACGGTAAGTTTGTTTTTATCTTAGACCCCATTTATTCTGTGTCAGAAACTTTAGCTGTGTCAAAAATTTATAACAATCCGAATTCAGAGCTGTAACAAGCTTGAATGTTATGTCCGTACTTGCCTCAACTGTTCAGAGTTCGACATCTGCGGTCGTATAAAGCTATGCACTGTGGAGCATTTTATTTTATATTTATATAAGATATGAAAAGCATTGGTAATTTAGTATTAGATGCTTGTTTTGTCTTTTCGTTCAATTTTTTTTAACAGTAATTAGGCCGTTAGTTTTCTTGTTTGAATTGATATACATTTATCATATCGGGGCCTTCTATAGATGATTAGTATGTGGTATGGGCTTTGCTCATTGTTGAAGACCGTAATGTGACCTATAATTGTTAATTTCTGTGTCATTGTGTCTCTTGTGAAGAGTTCTCTCATTGAAATCATACCTAATCTTCTTTTTAATATTGAAAATACGAGTAGGAACAACAGCCAATTGGTGAGACATCATTTCCGTGTTTTGGATTTCATTGATAAGCAAAAGTTATACCATCAATGCAAAATGGGAAAACATAATGTCAACTAATACATGAATTTGCAAGAGATGAATTATTTCACAAATCGATCAAATGATGAAGAGAAATGATTTTAAAACAACTGGCCTGGAGTAACAGTTATTCCATACGGTCGGAAATGACCTTCGCATTTTGATGAAGGATAACCCAACGTTACAGTAATAATAATATACAAAAAGAATCATCAAAGACACATAACTGAAAGAAGTCTCACTTCTTTTGAATTAATCCGATTCCCTCAGTTTTTATTTATCTCATTAATTTGTGTCTTTTCAAAACAAACAATCATAAAAGATACCAAGCTAATAACTAGAACTAGACTAGCGTAATTTTGTCTACATAAGACATATCAGTGATACTCAAATCAAAACAGTCGAAAGTTTAAATGTAATACGAAATAAAGCCGGGAATTCAAAAAAACATTGCGCAACATTAGGCTTAGAAATCTATACCTTGGGATAGGAAAACTTAGATTTTTTAATGATTCAACATTTCCTATTGTATATCAAATGTCAATTCAAAACTGTTGACTCTAGGCTTTGACGATTTTTTAGATTCGAACATTGATAAACCATATCCCTAAATTCATGATATATCTAGTCTAATACGTGTTTCAATAGTCTATTTGCCGATTCCCGTTATTGACCCTGTAATTAGAGATCCCTTTTTTTATTGTCTCCCTTATGAGGGAAATAAATTTTTATTGACAATGAAGAGCTAGGGGAAAGAGCAAATTACCTGTGCGTAATGTGAGTAATCTTTAAGTTTATCAAATCTTTTAATTACATTAATTTGTTATTTAGCTAAATACTTTTGTCACCAGAAGTTGTTTTTCATGAAAAATTAGTTAAACCGCCGATACATCACATTCAACTTATCATGCTTTGCGTGGGCAAAAGCCAATTTTGTCCGGTATAGAACCAGTCTACGATTGACAAAGGGAAGTAATTTGTTTAAAAAGTGTGTAATAACAGAATCAAATCGGTAATTGGCAAATGGACTATTGATTTTAATTTTGCTGTGTCATACAATAAACACGACACACGTTAAAATGTATAAATATTAAGACATGAAACATCAACATTAATCATGTAAAATAGTTGATGATAAAAGTACTGTGGATTCATTATAATTCGTTGGATACCAATTTCCGAGGATTTCGTGGTTACTAAGAAACCACGAATTTCAATGTACAACGAATTACAAATTTAATAAAGGAATGTATGCAGACTTTGGCAAAACTACTAAATCAAATATTCACGAAAATACAAGATTGCTTCAATCCACGAAAATTTGTACCCACGGAAAATATGAATCTACAGTATACAATTTATAATAAAAATCACAAGCTTCCGTAACTTTGATTTTCATATGTAAATAATTGATTTCCTGAAATATTTTTCGCAAGGAAACAAAGAAAGATATCTAAAGGTCACAACGTTCAGTTTCTCGATTAAAGTACAAGTCATTTTTATTTTATTGTAAAGAGTTAAGTTTGCGTTTCATTTCAGCAAAGAAAATCGAGTTCTAAAGAATTTATCTATTGAAAGGTGCATGCAACGGGACTTCAGAGAAAAAAAGATGAATGCAGTTGTCGTTGATAACTTAATTCATTAAACATAAACTCATAATTTAGAGTATACACATGAATGTTGCAGTAATGAAAATATGATTCTAATATAACAACCTTATTTCGCTTTGTTAATATCCCCGTTATTTTCATTTTTATCCTTGTAAAGTATCTATAATGCCTACCCGTGTTTAAATGAGCATAGAGCATGACATCAAGAAATTATATCATCATTTTTGCCTTTTGTTGTCGAATATGAAGTGTTGATTAATGTTATCTGATATTTATTTTATGATTTTAGATTAAATTTCTCACAGAAATTTACCATCCATATGTTGAACAGAGCACAGGGAAATTGTTTTTAAATATACTTAGTTCACCGTGGTCACCAGATTTAACTATATCAAAATGTAAGATGGTAGATTTAGTTTTACATGCTGAATTGAATTCTTAGTCCATCAATTTTCAATTATAAGAACAAGTTTTAATAAAAGAAGGATGACTATACCATGTGATCAAAACAATACTATTTTTTTTTCTGATAGATATATTCGTATATATCTGTGATTTCTTTTTTTTATTATAGACAATCTTCATTGAAACACAATATCACCAAAGGTGTACAGAATAACATATTACAAAACAGAAAGTTAAATTGCAGATATGATAGATATCAAAAGATGTGGTATGAGCGCCAATGGGACAACTCTCCATCCAAGTCACAATGTGTAAAAAGTCAAACATTATAGGTCACGGCTTACATCGAACAGCAAGCTATAAAGGGTCCCCCAAAATTGACAGTATGTGTTATTTTTATACATAGTTTGTAATGTTAGAAATCAAAGATAGCTACCACTGCAGCACATTATGTAATACAGGGACCAATAGGATAATATAAATATTTTCTCCCTAATAAATTTGGATATGAAATCTAAGCGTTTACACCACGGGATATAGGTAACATAAAACCCTTTTGAAAGTATATACAAACAACTTTAATTGTTTCCCTATATGATTGAATTGATCCTGAGCCCAAGTGATCAAATAATGGTAATTACAAAAGTGTGCGTTTGAGTGCCGATACAAAAACCATGATTGTTGCCACCGTATGACATAGTGTAATTTTGGGCAGTTAAGCCTTTACATGAAATGATGCTATGCTTGAATCATCAGATGGCAGTAGTCTTTAACTAATTTGTTTTTTTTTAAATTATTTTGTTGCTGATAAAAAAAGAATTGAATGACTTAAAAAAGTTGTGAACAAATTTTAATATTTGTACATTCTACCAAAGTGAGCCTGTTTTCAATACAGTAAGTATTTAGAACCTATATACATGCTTCCATTGGTCTATAAAAAAAACAAATATCAACAATAGCAACTTGTTAGCTTCAAATGTGTCTAATTGGTTTATTCCGATCGTTCATCATCTTCTTCTGTTGAAACCTTTACGATTTTTTCCTCAAAACCGTGTTGTTTTTATAAAGGGACGTAACACAACCACTAACACTGTATTGAAATAAGCCCCGCCTACTAACCCTAGTTAACCTAATATGGAATATACACGGTCTCCTCGTGGTTTCTTTTAATCAATCATATTCCCAGAAATGTATAGGAGGTAAAATAATAAATAATCCAGTATCAGTTCAGTTGTTGTTTTAACAACTGTAATAATGTAGCTGTGATTGTATGAGAATTACGAACTCCGTGTTTTATACTGGTCATATCTTTAATTTATACAGATTTTGTATGGTGTTGTATAATTTTATTTTATTTTCCAGTATTACTGTGTATAAAAGAATTCTTGGATTCTCCAGATCCTAATTGTGGAAAATTGAGTTTATTGGAAGCATTCATGTACAATAAAACGGCGGCTGAATGGACACGAAAACATGCCGATGTTAAATGAATATTAGAATATATTATATCAATAGTGTTCCCTTGAATTTGTAATACGCGTCTCAGGTTATGTTTGTACATCCATTAAGTTTATTTGATATGTTTATTGTGCTGAGAAAACTGTTATATGATTATAAATTGTATGTGTTAACAAAAGTTGTTCTTATTGTTATTGTTGTCTGTTGATGGGCTTGAATGCTGACTTATAGTTGCTAACTTCTACACTCCCTGCTCTTTACCTGTTTTGCTCTGTGTGACTCTCATACCCCTATGTTAGAGAGTAAATTTTAACTTCTACGTTCTTTGGTATCATGTAGTATTTGTCTCATAGGAAATCAAACCAAATATCTGTAATCTAAATCAGGTAACTTTTATTTTTTCTTGCTTTCTTTTCAAAGTGTAGGTGTTGTTTAAGATTTATCTACATGATGTCCTCTCGATAAATATTGCAACGTTTGGTGACTATATTGAAAAGTAAAATCACAAAAATACTAAACTCCGAGGAAAATTCAAAACGGAAAGTCTCTAATCAAATGGCGAAATCAAATGATAAAACACATCAAACGAATGGACAACAATATTCATATTCCTGACTTCGTATATGCATTTTCAAATGTAGAAAACATCTTTCCCGTCAAATCTTAAATACAGCTGATACACTTAAAAAAAAAGTAAAATCACAAATATACTGAACTTTGAGGAAAATTGAAAACGGAAAGTCCCTAATCAAATGGCAAAATCAATAGATAAAATACATCAAAGGAATGGACAACAACTGTCATATTCCTGACTTGGTACAGGCATTTTCTTATGTACGCCATATTGATACTTTCAACTGCAAAACGCAAAGAGTGTTATGCTTTAAAGGGCTTATCAGCTAATTCGAGTTCAACTTTCACAATCTATTCAACAGGTGTTGTATACTTAGTATCTCTTTATGCATGTTATGAAAGTTCGTTCAAAAATGATTTGACGAACAAAAACAGACAATAACAATCAAACATATGATCCAGGTAACATGACTTTGTACAAGCAAATACATGTGGGATGATCAATTAATTGAAAATTATCAATGATCTACCATGCCACCAAAACCTTGAAAAACAAAATAACAACATAACGATCTGACATTATATGACCACTAACGACGTTCATTGATTGGTATATATGGGCAAATGGTCGCGATTTATAATAAAAATCTATATTAAATCTCCAGCTGAAATGGATTAGTTATGAAAATTTATAACGGACAAGACATCTAGTTTATCAAATGTAAAGGCATAACATTTATGATATCAAAATATATAGAAAACTGGGACTGTAAAATATGAAAGAATGATAGAACGTTTTTAAATACATGTTAATAAATGTGTTTGTAGCCTTAGATTCTGAGTACGTAGGGAATTTCTTTTTCTTACTTAAATTCTTCAATTGCAACGAGTATGTTACCACACTTTCATGATGAAATCTGAATTAAATTAAAACTACACACAGCTTTGAATAGTAGAGTACTGTGTATTAAATAAATATCCATATACAAATGACAGTTGAGCTGAGCGGAGCGAGTGAGAAAATAATGATGTCTTTCCAGCAAAAACATTTTTTTATTGTAAGTAGAAGCATTTGGTGTGGGTCGCCTGAATCCAATTCTCCAGGTCATAACGGAATATTATTCATATCAAGACATATTAAAAATTTCACACTTGAATCCTAAATGTCATCTTGCACCATTAAAACATTTGCTCATTCACGAGTTGTACGATTAATCATGTAAGGAAGCTTAATCAATATCATCAGTCCTTTTTTATATGGAGAGGGATATAGTATTAACTTTCTAGAAACCTGCAAAAACAAAGACATCACATGAATATTCCCTATTATTGTAATTCTTTGTGTCCAACAAACAATCAGAAGTTGGTCATGACACACATGAATTAAACATTGAAATGAAGTTTAAAGCCAAATATTATGACAAAAGACATATAAAAAAAAGTAAAATAACAAAAATACCGAAGTCCAAGGAAAAATCTAATCGGAAAGTCCCTTATCAAATGGCAAAATCGAAAGATCAAACACATCAAACGAATAGAAAACAACTGTCATATACCTGACTTGGTACAGGCATTTTCAGTAGAAAATGATTAAACCTGGTTTTAAAGCTAGCTTAACCTCTCACTTGTATGACAGTCGCATAAATTTTCATTATATTGACAACAATATGTGAACAAATCAAACAGACATATTGGGTAAAACTGTCAAAAATAGGAATACAGCAGTCAACATCATGTTATAATCTTAGGCCGTGTTCACACCAAACGCCATGTACAGTAAACATGTTTACAATTAGTTTTATGTAATGTACACTGGTTTCACATTAAATTTGTTCACATCTATACACCTGGTTTAGCTAACTGTACATGCGATTTGTTCACACTTGCAACCTACATGTCATTTAAATGTTCATTACATAAAATCGAATTCAAATTTCTCGGATCACTTTTCTAGCAGTTATGAAAGCCCTTTTTATGATTCGCAGTACTTTAACTCAGAATAAAGTGGGGATCCAACCATATGTCCCCATTCAAAAGCATCGATCGTCCAAAAATGTAGGGTTCCAACAACCCCCAAGACCGGACCCACTAATTACGCAATAACAAACGTAGGCCTAGGTAGCTACGATTTGATTTTTTTTTTGGGGGGGGGGGAAGGGGCTAGGATGAAAACTTTTGTCCTGCATTTTTTTTAGTAGTAATCTCTGTCCTGCCTTTTTATTTTTCACTATATTCAGTTTATCTTGACTTTTGTCCCCCCTTGAAAATCAAAAAGTAGCTCCCTTACAGACGAAAGATTGAGATGTTTAGAATATTGCAACAACGAAGGATTACTGCATTTCTATTTTTTTATTATTATTATTTCTAAGTGAATTTGACCGGATCTGAGATACTAGCCAAACATTACAATTTACCGCACACGCTTTTTATTAATGCATTTTAATGAGTGAATCGTTAATTGAGTAAAGACCATTGGCAAATATTCATGCGTACGTCCAGTCGATTCAGGAAGAATGAGTTATGTGTTTGGCAATGATGCTTTTAGTCTTGATAAGGGGTGAATAAAGCTACCTTAAGTTGTTTTAACAAAGCAATATATCGAGTTTAGACAAATAATTCGGTAAAGAACTTTATCAATAATTGATATAAATATCAATTTTATTCAAAAAAACGTTTCTTCTTTAATTAAACATGGTAAATGATATGTTCTAAATACCTTGTTTTGTGTACACTTAACCCGCACAAGGCCTACATTGACTATCGACTGCATGTAGACAAAACTAGATTTAAACTACATGTAAGCATTGAGTTTTATCAATGGAAACGTAATTGTGTTTAGTTTACGTGTGAATTACACTGACACAACACCGAGTTTAGGTCAATGTGAACACGGCCTTAATCACTTTAAAAACAAACAACTATGTCAACAAAGAAAAACAAAATGGCATATAGACAAAGCACATCAGCAATAATGAAAGAGAAAAATACAAAAATGGCCATAGCACAACAACACATTGGCGGGATGACCATGAAGTATTATTTGTGAAGTTGATACGGAATATTTATCAACAAGGTCGTGGTATCTTCCGATGAAATATTTATTTTTAAAAGTACGACACATTCTTTGAAATCAACCTGGTTAATCAACTTTCTGCTAAGACACTGGTGACGTTTTATTAAGTCTAGGTTGCAGCTGCAAGCTCTTGAATACAGAATGAGCTGGGAAATTTTAATACCCCCTTTATTTTCATGTCCCCCTTTTTCATGTTGCAAATGACAAGTACTTATAAAAAGACGAAAACATAACATTTTTTCTTTTCACAAGATATCAATATGAAGTCAATATGTAATGATTTGAATCTTCATTTAAATATGTTTGTATTTCTTTCTTTTTAAATCCAAGTTGTAAACTAAAAATACCACCGGCGATATTATAATCTATTTTTAAATACATTATAACACTATAAGCTAATTGGTTACTGAAATTTGCATTTACCTTGAATAGTTGAATGATTACTTTGTACTACAATACAGATCTGACGTCAGTCGACTTTGAATAAAGAATACTGCAGAAACGTTTGATAATTAAGACAAAGACTTGAGCAAGGAAGTTTAAAATATAGTTATAGTATATTCTCACAAAATGGTGAACAGATTGTTCAAGGTAAGGAATAAGTGTCAATTAGACAGTAACCAACGACACAAACAACCAGCCTTCAACAATAGCCAGGTGTATATACAATATTTCAAGCTCTAACTTGTCAAGAGAATAAAATGGTGTGAAGAATTTTCACATGCAAACTATCAAACTCTGACAAAAATATCAAAATACGCCAAAAACGAAAAAAATATATGACATATACAACCACTAAAGATGTTTACCAGACTGAAAAAGAGATATAAGATTATTTATATACTTTACAATTTGAAACGGTTTCGTATATTGTACCTTTCATATACTTTTTTGAAGGTGAAAAACCCTACCAAAAAAATCGATATAATTGTTTATTTTGTATAGAGTAATGACACCGTTTAAGGTAAAACAAAATATTCAACTTATAGGTGATTGAAATCATCCTGATTAACAGGAAAAGTGTGATGGTTATCCTTTTTTCTTTAGTAGTCCAGCAGCTAAGTCCTATAAATTGGCCTAATTAATTACTTTATGTTTAAAGCATTAAACTTTGCACAGTGTAGTTATGTTGCTAATGATCATTATTGGATATGCAGCCACGAAAAAAAAAAAACCTAAATGGCCGCCAAATTAAAGATGGCCGACATAAGGTACTGGGAATACAATACCATACACTCAATGAGATCTACCAATATGCTAGAGTTCAGTACATATTCGCGTAGGGTATCAAATGAAGGCCCAGGGTATTAGCTTTCTAAAAAATATCAGGTTTTCAGCATTGTTGATTATTCTAGCAATTGAAAGTTATACCCCTTTACCCATGAAAAATCGACAAAATGCTAAAAAAAAATGTATTCGTTGTTTCCAAATACACAAAATATTAACACTCATTTAAAATTTTATGTATTTTGATAGTCATTGTTATAACTGAATATATTTGTTTGCATTTGACCTGTTTGAAGCAGTTTTTGTAGTAAGAATACCAGGAAGATGGGAAATTTTCAGATTTGAAGATTTTTCAATTTTTTTTCTATATTTGGCATTTTTTACCCAATTATCATTTTACTCACTATTTTGATTGTTATCATTTTATGACACAATGTTTAAGCTTTCTAATGAACACCAAAAACTGGGTAAATTTTAAAGAATAAAACCTTAAAATATGGAAAATATTACCCCTACCCAACTTATTTCAACTGAAAATCATGAATATCAAACACTGAACACCTTTAATCATTTCACTAAAGAATTATCTGGTATAAATCAGCAGTGTTTACATCCAAAAGATGAATATTCAGCCTCTGGCTCGCATAATGCCATTTCTGTTGCTTCAGTTTTGAAAAAGAGGGAAATTTTGGAATTATAGATTTTCCAGAACGTATCAAGTTTATCATTTTTATCTTTTTGAAATAAAAAAAAAATTTGAATCCCAAAACTTATACATTTCTTAAGTGAAATTAGGTATTTGGCGTCTTATAAGCTTGTTAGATCAAGTTTTATGTCAAACAAAATCTTATCAAAACGGAAAACAATACCATACCATTTCAAATTTGAAAATAAATATACAAATTTGACTGAGAATAGCTTGAAATCATAAAAATAAGTATTAATTTTGTTCAAATTTCTTTTATTTATATCCAATACTTATATCCAAGACATCCTAAATTGTTTAAAGCCATGTCTGTAACGGCAGAATATATAGACATGGCTCAATGAATCTGTAATGTATTGGAGTTCTATATAACACAAATCTTAAATTAATTCTGCAGCGTAAATCACAACAAAATTAGAAATAATGCCCTCCTTAAAAAAATTGTTGATTTATACACGCATGTATATGTTTAGAAGTGGGGTATTATAGTCCATTAATCTGCGATTTTATCAGTAGAATTGATCAAAGCTCTGCATGTACACATTTGAAAGCAAATACATTTCTGTCTTCATTGGGGCCAACAAATTTTATGTTAAAATAAGTATTCACTTACCATAAAGAAGAAGGGAAAAATGGAAGTTAACCGGGTAAAATTCGTAAAATACATTATGGCATTCATAAAAGCCAATACCTTTGGAGTAAACAAAAGTATGTTAATGTTAGATGGATATATATGACATTTTATTTTTAAATCAGGAAAATCTGCAAATCCGAAATTACCCTTTTTTTATTTTCACTGATAACAAAAACAAAATTTTGAACGATCTAGGTATCTTAAATATATGCACTTATTATTAAATTTATTCTTCCCTCAGGCAATTGCCGCAAGTTGACCTTATATTGCTTTATTGGCTATAATTTTGGGGTCCTTTTGTATCAGATAGCTGTTCAAGTGCTTCGGACTTTATACATTCTTGGCTTTCACATAGCTGGCTATGAGCGTTCCTGATGAAGGTAAATCCAGAAAAGCGTGGCGCATGAAATATATAAAGTGTTGTTTTCATTTTTTTAAGCCAAATAATTGTTTCGGTTGGTGTACTGAGAAACATTTGCTTGATGCCTTTATTCTTTTTGGCTTAAATTTTGGATGGGCAGGGGTGAGTTTTCCATTTGGTAAGATTTCATAATATCAGGTAATCGATAGCTTGGGTTTATGAAATATATGTTATATTCCTCCAAATCGGAAAGCCAATCATTTTGGACATACCATAAGTATTTTAATTTTAAAAGGATAAATATTACAAAATTTAAGAAGATCTGAATGGTCTGAAAATCCAAAATATTCCTTTTTCCCCGAAGTTGGCGACATTGATGTAGCCAAATGGTTTCCAAATATATCTGTTGAACATAGTTACTACTAACTCTTGCCAGATTATACTTTGGTTGAAGTATTTAAGTTGTGAATATTCACAGTTTCTAGTTAAAACTCTTGGGAGATATGGGTAATATTCTTCAATATATATAGCATTCATTAAAACTACCAATGTCTGGTGTTTAAATAAAGGCTTAAACATTCTTTTTTTTTCAATTGAGATCAACCGAACTGTTTTAGCAAAAGCAGATTGGTCATAAGTACCAAAAGTCGTTGACATTTGACCTTTTTGGAAATTTGATAATATGTTTACAATTCCCTCATATTCTGACTACAAATGGTGCTCTAAACTTAAGAAAAACCACGAAATATGTCCATTACTTCAATATTTATTAGAATACATCATATAATTAATTGTTTATTATATTTTGTTGTTTGTTAACAATTGAAAGAAGTATTTTTAGCATTTTTTTTCCCATTTTTTAATGGTCAAGGTGGGTATATCTTTCAATTTTGAGAATAATCGTGAACAACAAACATAAAAACCTGATAATATTTAGAAAGCTCATAACCTGGGCTTTCATTTGATAACCCACATATGTACTTAACTCATTAAGTGTATGGTATTGTATTCCCAGTACCTTATGTCGGCCATCGTTAATTTGGCGGCCATATTAGATTTTTGTCTTGGCTCTATATCCACAAATATTCATTAGCATCAGAACTAACACTGTGCAAAGTTTCATGCTTTTACCATAAGGTGATTAATTATTCTGATATCCGCTTGACTAAGCTCAATGTCATCATAAACATGTTAACAGAAGTGATTTCTTCGATTGAAAAAAACTAACATTTATATGTAAATGTCGAAATACCAAAAAAAAATCGATGTCATGGTTTATTAAAGTCGGTGAATATGTGTAAAAGGAAATGTTATGTGTAGTATTACATCAATCAGACAGCAAACCAATACAAATATTTAACCAGAAGAAGAATGTTTATGCTCGAGATAATATATATATCTTTAACAGTCTTAACCCATAGTTCTTACCTTCTTTGTCATTTGATTTTTGGTGGATAGTTGTCTCATTGACAATCATACGACATCTTCTTAGTTTTATATAGATGATATGTTTGTATACAAAAAGAACACTAGATAACATATGCCGTTGTTAACCTTGCAAATAAGCATTGCTAATAGAGACGGTTTAACCATATTTGATATACTTGCATTACAATTATCTAATGTGAAATTTTACTTTTCAGGAATTTTTAGACATTTCTGAAAATCCTCCACCAGGTATTTCTCCAGGTCCAATTGACGGTGACAGTAAGTTTACAACTAAGGCCGTGTTCACACCAAACGCTGCGTACTGCAAGCCTGTTTACAATTGGTTTCATGTAATGAACACTGGTTTGACATTAAATTTGTTCTCATCTGTACATCGGTTTTAATTACCTGTACATGAAAATTATTCACACCAGTAAACAATATTTACACGTAATTTACATTTTTATTACATAGAATTAAATTAAAGATTTCTCTGTGAACTTTTGTATCAGTTAGGCGCAGACCAATTCATACTTTTTTTCTATATTTTTGGGGGGTGGGGTGGGGGAGGGGAGATAAATTGATAAAATTCAATTTTGTTTTTGAAAGTAGAAAATTGTTTGAAACCATTTAAATTTTAAGGGTGGGGTTGATTCAACTTGGAGTTAAAAACAAATCCTCCTGTATGTTACTATAGGTGTAATACCAACAAATCATAGTACGTCACATCCGGTTGCATACGAAAAAGGGGTCGAAAAAAATATTCCCTTGAATTTGACAGTTGTACTACATTTCATTGCAGTAAAAAATTTCTGAGTCATAAACATATATCTTGGGTGTTTTAAGGCACCATTCTTTTTTTATTTGGTGTTTCAATAAAATATTTTGGAAACTTGAGATTACATGGTTACTAAATAAAGGCAACAGTAGTATACCGGTGTTCAAAAGTCATAAATCGTTTGAGAGAAAACAAATCCGGGTTACAAACCAAAATCGGGGGAAACACATCAACTATAAGAGGAAAACAAAGGAACAACAGGAACACCGAAGTGCAACTAAAGCTTTTAAACAGGAAAATAAGGGGTGAAAATTTGATTGGTTAACTTCCAGTGATGTTTATTATTTTATATGCAATGACATGTTATGTGAAAATTTGTCTGTAGTACTGGACAGGATAAAACTTTACTCATGCCAAGTAGTTCTTTATTTGAAACAAAGAAATTCTGCACAATTTTTTTAAAAGTGCAAATTTAACAAAGACTAATAGGGGAAAACAATGCTGGTATTACTCCTCTAAAATAGAGCTAACGTAGTTGCCTGGTTAAAGTAAATTTTGAAATCAGAATTTCTTAGGGCTTAGTTCTTTAAATCATTTGATTCAAGTGAACCTGGTCGAGTACTTGCTTTTGCTGTTCATGATATATCAGATAGATAGTTCTACAGAGGCTTAGGTAGACATACGCAGCTATACAAGTCAAAATAAGGATCGACAACTCTGTCACTTCATATCGGCTGGTAAAGGGTCGATGAGTTCTAACATTTAATTGTGTTCATTTATCATTACACTAGGTCAAATATCAATAACAATTTATCAACTAAAATTGGTAGAAAAAAATGAAATTGTCTAAAATCATCTGCATTGAGTTTTTGCTTACAATTTTAAAATCAAATGACAAATTTTACACACAGAATATAAAAAATATCGATGTATTTTCTATTGATATATTTATAAAAATAATAACGTTACAACATTTAAGAAGCTGAATATTAATATTATTTTTTTTCTTCACTATTATTGTTATATTATTTCATTCAGTGCTGTGATAGAATTTCATTTGAAAACACTTCTCGGGGGCTAAATATATCGTATATATATATATATATATATATATAAGAACTTTAAAACTCTGGAAATAACTTTGTACACGGGATGATTATAACAAGTATTGTTAACTTAGTTGGGCATACGTTTCTTGTGAATTACCTAAATAATTGTGAAAAGTGGACTTGTATCTACCCGTCTGTTACTTGTCATGCTAACCTGGTGTCATTACATCCAGAGACATAAAATAAGTCTCTGTTACATTTATGCCTTCCAGTATTACAGTTAAAATATGTTAAAATATGTATGGACTGTACAATTTTAGTTTTTTGGCTATTATAAAAATGTTTAAAACAAGTACTCTTTAGAAATTCGCCATTTAAATAATGAAAACAGCAAATTTTTAAATGAATTTTAAACACGATAAATGACACAGTTGCCATTATGAAAAAAATCCCAATATCGTCGAAAAATTCGTACTTTCAAATCAGCTAGGGACGTAGTTTGTATACGAATTAATTAATGCTGTTAAAAAAGCATGCACCACTAGACATATGTTTCAAGTATTACAACATAGCAGCAAAGTATTAATTTTGCTTAAGGAATTTGTAAAATTAATGTATAAGAAGACGTAGGTTTGTTATTTGTGCTACAGAACCAATTGACCGACGACGAGAAAAAGAGCCATGTTTACAATTGACCAGAGACGTAATTTAAACTGAAATTAAACTGTCAATGTCAACATTTTAAGAAAGTTTTATGTTCGAAGACGAAGGAAAGAGCAGCAAAAGATAGAAAACGGGTCCGATTAACGAAAAAAGTTAAGTTACTTTCAATTTCTATGGGACAAACTTACTACAAATGGCTGATTAACACGTCATCGAAGTCACGTTAGGTCTTATTTAGTTGGGTATGCTTAAAGTGTGTGTGTGTGTGTGTGTGTGTGTGTGTGTGTGTGTGTGTGTGTGTGTGTGTGGATGGAGGTGCAGTCTTCTGAAAGTGACAAGCAAAAAAAACCCAAAATAAAACAAAACATCTTTTCTATAGTCTAATAGTCTAGAAGTTAGTCAGTGTCCTCTTTGATAGTCGACCGAACTGCCATTGCAAAACGATGATTTGTTCGAATGAGGTAATTGTGTCTTGCATCAGACCTTCTACAAATCCATCAAAACATTGTTGCAAGTGTTATTCAACGTGCTAATTCCGACCGGACGGAGCCACGTAGTTATACATCCTACACAGTCGAAAGTTGAAACATGGATATAGCATAACGATCAACTAAATAATAAGAAACTATGAAATAAATTTAAAAAAAGTATATAATATGTATTAAAACAAAATATTAAACCTGCATATTTTATTTTTCAGTATTCAATTGGCAGGGCATGATATCAATTGTTTTAATAAAACTATATTCACACTGTGTAAATAAGATAGGTCAGAATATTTATGAATATATTTATTTACTTACAATAAAACGAACCAAAATTTTTTAAAATGCCTACTTCATTCCCTCATTTTTTGTTTTTTACCTTATTTGAACATAGGAAAACTACTGCCGCCTTATTTCATAACCAAAACAGAAGAAAAAACACAGTGATTTCTTGAAACCTTGTGTCTTGTCTGCTTTTATAATTAATATTTCAATATAAGTATTACTGTATGTATCATTTAAATGAAGTACTGACACGGATGAATGAAGTTGGAATTGGTGCATACTTTCCTATTATTATTATTAAACACTGTCATCTGATTACAAAATCAAAATAAAGATATGAATTATAATTGCCAATGAGTATCAACCAGTATTAAAATGAAGTGGATGTAAACTAGTATAGGTCACATGACGACTTTCAACAAATTGAATGAGAAAAACCCGTAGCGTATAGTCGGCTTTAACAGGCCCCGACATACTAAAATATGAATTAAATAAAAATGAAAAACTAACAGTCTAATTGATCATCATGAACCTTACTAACAAATGTGATAAACATGAAACAAGGACAACTACGGAATTACAGGCTCCTGACTTGGGACAGGCAAACAAACAATGTTTTGTTAAGACTTTAAATTGTTTAACATCCGTCTGATATCGGGGTCAAAATGTAGTTTTTGTTGTTGAGTTCTTATCTCATTGACGTATACACAAGTTTTTTATATGCTTGTAAATCATATATTTATTCATTTATTAGGACACTGATAATGATCTTAATAATAATTATTATCTTTCAGGACAGAAGTCCATACGCTGGAGGGGTATTTTGTGTACATATACGGTTTCGAAGTGATTATCCTTTCAAACCTCCTATGGTATATAAGTTTATTGTAATATTGTTATTTTATAGATTATTCATATCCCGATATTAGCAGGTAGTTTTTCATACCGATAGTTAGAATATTTGAATTTGAAATGTACCGGCCTACTAAATTCAAATGAGAAAAATAGATATAGTTTCCGAATATGAGTTATTAAGAATCATGTTTGTGAGATAGAAACCGTTCATTGTGAAAGATATAGAAACAACTTATTTATTAGTATTGATACCATTTAAAATATCTAACAAATAAGCATGAATTAAAGGCGAATTGGATACCATATTAACTGAATATACGTACATTTGAGTGTGAGAATATGGATGAAAAAAAATGACGCTGGACGATAATTCAAAAGCACGGAGTAATTGATGGATTGTGCATAGCTCCATTACAGAATTATAGTCCGCAATTTGTGATTTTGATAACGATGTAGTAGATTTTCTGACGATTTCCTTAAATAAATCGGACAATTTTCAATCCGAACTAAGGCCATTATAAAATAAAACTAAAATGTCGTTCTTTTTTTCAGTCCCATTCTAATTTTTTTTATAAATGACTATTTGTTTCAATTTTACTAGAGGTTTTCAACAAAAACGGAAAAAATTTAAATTGGACTCCCTCTCCCCAATATTTCAAAGAGTTGGATGAAAACCAAGTAGAGTTTTTGTATAATGGCTTTAAGAAAACATCAAGCAAATATATGAACTGATAATAAGAAACATTGCTTTTTAAATTAAGTTACTGCGATTTGATTGATTTTTTATGACTTTCAGATATCTTTGAAAACAAATATATACCATTTAAACATGTTGAATAGTGGTGAAAATTTTGGTCTTATTTGTGTAGATCATCTGCGGTCACATTGGTCGCCAGCGTCAAGAGTATCAGAAAGTAAGATTTTGTTTATTGTTTAAATTGTTTTTTTTTTTTTTATAGTTTGATAGGAAATCTAACAAAGATGTATAAAAAAATGTTAAACGTAAAGGAAACAATAAAGTAATAAAAAATCTGTATAAATTAATACAAATTTAAAGTAGACGATGAATTGTCGATATACCGTGATTAAATGTATACTGCGATTTCATTATCTTTTTTAATGATTTGCTTCCTGCTGCATTTTTCATCCATGACTCCATGGTTATAATGGAATAAGGCAATATTGTTCGTAATTGATTGACAGTGTTCAGTTTACCCGCTTTCATGTTACTGTATAGAATATCAGGCAGAAAAAGTATCACTTCTATTTCTTTGATTTTAAAGAAAAATGTTGGTTATTTATACACAACAAACTAAGGGAAAATAATCCGTTAAATTTGATTTTCCCAATTTCAAAAGAAGTAAATACCGATAACTTTTGACTCAACAACTAACCAACATCATAATATCTTAACCAGTCGATATTTGGAAAAAGACTCATTTTCTTAATCGTAGGAATGGAGAGCTGTGGAGGAGAAAAAACACCTTACCAGATCTGTCCGATGAACATTGATTCTCACTGTAATTACTTACGTTGCTTCGTTGTTATTTAAACAACATATGTATTACATTTTCTTTCAACAGATGATTGATATTTCTATGTAAACCAACTATGCTACTCTTCTTGCCGACTTGTTCCTTAATACGTATGTGGCAGATTTCATACTGTTTTTTAAAAAGAATGACGTCTCTAGAAGTCGTTTAATTATTTTGAGATTGTTTTGCTGTGTCTTTGACAGTAATTGAATATCTGTGTGGCAGACGGCCACTATAATGATCAAAATGTCGTAGTCATAATCTCACTATCTTTTCCTTGATGGTCATATTACCGAATACAACTTATCGCTGAATATTAACTTGGTACTTACAAATCCATAAGTGTCACTTGTAGAGGAGGAATTACTGTAACCCTTCTGAAGCACCTTCGGTCACCAATAGCTCTTTTGTAATGTGATTGCTTTGGCTTAAGTTTTCAGTGCTGTATTTTGTACTCTTTAATTTTCAATGAGAGACATTGGTTAATTATTCCCCTCTAATGATAACACAGATGGCAGCACAGTAGTTCAGGTCCAACACACACAGCATCTCTTTCCTATAGCCTATATAAAATTACACAGAGTGTTGATATTTGTTTACTAATAATAAGAAAGTTTTGTTCATTGAAATGCCATTAACCTGTTGTTGTGTACCTGGATGTTCTAACAGAGGTGGGCATCTTTTTCCAAAAGATGGGGAATTAAAAAAGAAATGGTTAAATGGAATCAAAAGAAACTCTTATGAAGAAAAACTTAAAGAATGGACACCAAGCAAAAACAGTGTTGCTTGCTATGAGCCTTTTTTGCAATGTGATTAAACATCAATTACATGTTTTGGTAAGTGTATATTGAAATTAAATATCCAAAAATTTTTCTATAATTCTAATTTAAATTTATAAAGGGAAGAATAAAAAGTAAAATAACAAAAAAAAAACGAGCTCCGAGGAAAATTCCAAACTGAAAGTCCATAATCAAATGGCAAATAAAAGCTCAAAACACATCAAACGAATGTATAACAACTGTTATATTCATGACTTGGTACAGGCATTTTCTTATGTAGAAAATGGTGGATTAAACCTGGTTTTATAACTAGCTAAACTCACTTGTATGACAGTCGCATAAAATTCCATTATATTGACAACAATGTGTGAACAAAACAAACAGACATAATAGGTAACAATGTCAGAACCTAGAATTTATACTTCAAGACCATCGTGTATTATTTATGAAGTTGATACGGAATATCAACAAGGTCTTGCTATCTTCCGATGAACTTTTTTAGAAAAAGGACGAGACGTTATTTGACATAAACCTGATTCATCAACTTTCTGCTCAGACACTGGTGACGTTTTACAAAATCTGAGTAGCAGCTGCACGCTCTTGTATAAAATTATATTATTTATTGCAATGGAAATGTAAAAAAGAATATTTTCTATTCTTATTTTGTTAACTTCAACAAAGATTTATTTGTAATGTGCCATCATTACACGTAGCATAATTTGTTAATTGTCAATGTTTATACAAATAATTTATTTTCACATTTCATACCCTGCTGTGATGATTTCTAATTTGTTTGTTTAATCTTTTAACTAAGCTGGATTAATGAAAACAGAAAGTATGATAATCAGATGAAAAAAATGTTTTTTTCAATATTAATAGTTAATTATGTGTTAATACTTGTAGGCATCAATGTTAGTAGAAAACAGTTAAAAAAAGGATCAGTTCCAAGCGTATTTTGTTGAAAAAGAAAATTATATACAAGCACCCCAACCAGATGGGATCGACTTGTTAAAAGAAACAAAACAAAATCTGAATAATCATTCACAGAAGAAAATGTTGAAACAAATTATCCATGTAATTCTGATATAGGACGAGAAGAATGTGTCGAGTCTACAACAGCACCCGTAGTACCTGATACAGAGTCAGATATATTATATACTGCTGTTCCACTGAATAAGGAAGTTAGCTGTCAACCCCGCCATGGGCATCCCTTGCAATAGAATATTTTAGGCATGATAATATGCAGGTGTATTGTTTTATACAGGGTTGACAAATTAAATTGATCTTAAAAATTTGTTTTGGCTTCACTGGGAGAGGGAATATACCACATAAACTACATGTAATATAGAGTGGACCAGATTAATGTTGAAAATCAATTTTTTTTTAACCCTTTTCAAGCTAAGAAGACACAAAACCAATTTTGAACTAAGTAGACTGTTTTGCATTTCTGAACATTCAGTGACAAACATATGGATCACATGGCTGAACTTTTTGTCGAGACAATGGAAAGAGTTTTGAGATTTGTGGCCAAGCCGAGATTCAATGCGCTTTTTTAGTCCATCTGATTTCAAGTTGAAGTGCCCCAGAAATATTATTCAGTATCTAATGTATATAATCATTAAAACTAGACTTAAAAAATACGGATTAGGGGTACCTGATGAGGAATGCCTTGGCTAAAAGCCTAAACCGAAACACCAGGTGTATCAAATAATAATAGCCTAGACATGTGATTATAATCATTTAAATCTATGAATAGATTGAAATAAATCAAACATTCATATGTACCAATACGGATCAATTAAGCCTCTACATGGTTCATTGGATTGGTTCAGGACACGTCGTATATTTAAAAATCAGTATACAAAATGTACTAATGCCCATTTGTTGACAACAACAATTTGATTGCTTTAAGATAAAAACTTACCTTTAGAGTGAATATTTATTCCCAGATTAAAACAGCCTACTTGGTTTTCATTAAAAATTTACGATCAACTCGACTTTTAGAAATCGATGAGCCATGTCGTTAAAATTCTTGTTCATTTCATGTCTCCATATTAATAGTGTATATGATGTTATTTATATGTATTTTATTTTGTTCAGTTATCTATTATTTGTATGTAATGGAGAGGACGTTTTAAGTTGCAAAACTTGTGTCTGATCCTATTGTCAATGTTTTTAGGACAATAAAATATGTTTAAACTACAAAATGTTTGTGTTTAATGTATCAAAGAATACATGCTGGCTGTCTTATCATATATACATAATATGTTGTTGGACCTGATCTACCACAGCGCCATCTGTAATTAAGTGGGAATAATCTTCACCAATGTTTCTCATTGTCTGTGTTGTTTCTACTGGAAACAATGTTTTCTATCATTTGTCCTGAAGCCCTTGTTTTAATTTTAATATTTTTCAATTTGGTCTAGTTTAGTTTTCGAGAATGTACTGTACCGATGGTTTAGAAATACGGGGATGTCATAGTGTTAGGTAAGACAAGGAAAGTAACAAATCAGCTGTTATACGTTGTATATTCACCTGATATGACTCGTCAACGTATTGAGCAGGAGATTCACCACGGGGGTCACTAGTGAAACAGAGACTACGGACTATTCTCTTTGGTTTATCTGTTTTTTCGACTTATGGTTTTCTATTATCCCCTTTGTTTCGTTAACATTTTCTCTCTCTCTCTCTCTTTCTTTGTGAGTCAAATGAGATACAAGAAATACGCAATGAGACAGCTACCCAATAACATACAAACTAAGACGTTCAGTATTGTTCAACATTCGATATTTACGTATAAACAGGTTTTATACCTAATTCGTGCTATAGATCGCCCCGGGTCTAATAAAGAAGTGAATAGATTTGACAGTTTGGACATAATATAACATTGAATAGTCCTTGCAGTACTAGATTGTTGGTTGTAACAACCATGTAACTGTGTTAAACCTATGCAAGCGCGTGGTGTTTATTTTGGAATATATATGAAATACAATGCTTTTTAACATTTGTTTATGATTTTATTTTCTATTTCAGTATTACTGAGTATAGTAGCGTTGTTAGCTTCTCCAAATCCTGAGTGTCGATTTAACAAAGAAGCTGCAGATTTATATAAACTAGATAGAAACAAATACAATGAAATAGCGGCGGAATGGACACGAAAATATGCCATGTAACATGGTCATCAGACATGTTATATAGATCGTTTTCCTTTAATTTTGTTTTACGAAATATAGACATAAGTTTTCGTTTTAGGACTTTTTACAAGTTATGAAATTTCTGTATCATGAGCGGAATATATTATTTTTTTGGTTAATTTTTAAAAAGTATATTTGCTTGTTTATTGTGATAAAATATCAATTATATGCATATAAAATTTAAGTTTCAACAAAAGTTTATCTTGTTTTTTTATTATTGGCTGTCGAGGGACTTGAATAACTTTTATTTATCTCGCCTTTAATCAATAACGTAGGTATTGCTTAAGTTTTATCATAGTTGAAAGGATTCGATATGCAGTTGTAAATTACTACAAGATAATGGTGAAATATGTCCCTTACAGCTTACATTTTTCTTCGAAAACCAATATTAATATGATTTTCGTAAAAGTATCAATTGGTTAAGAATTGATGCACATGGCTCTTTTACATGAAAATAGGGATGTGGAGTATACGTCAATGAGCCAACCACAAAAATGTCTGAAAGGCATATTGAGGGCACCGTTTATTGGTAGTCTTAAACAGTAGACAGGTGCCTTTTTAATATGTGAAGGTCTAAATCGTCCTGAGTCTATAAATTTTTTAATAAATTTAGTACACACAATTAAATAGCTGCCATTAGTAAAGTATTCATTTTATGTCCCCTAATTTATGCTTATAATTATAAAATATTATCCTTCCGATGTAAAGGTTGTTCCTTACCTTGTTTTAACTCCTTTTTATGCAAAGTTTGGATCAATACTGGTCAAAATCTAATCCTTTCGAATATCAGCAAACAATGTTTTGCTCGCGTAACATTGACGAAAAATAATTTCAAGACTAAGAAAACTACTGAAACTACAAGGTCTGTTTTATATCTTGATTCCTTTCATCGATATAGAAACAGATGGACGTTTTCGAACCAGAAACTATGATAATAGTGATGGTTTCAACATTCCAATTGTCAACTGCCCATTTATCAACTCTAACATACCCTATGGCGTTTACATATCTCAATTAGTACGTTGTGCTCGTGCATGTTCCACTATGAGGACTTCATTAGCAGGGTTGTGATGCTTACACAAAAACTCCCTTGATAGGGTCACAATCACGAATTAGTTGACCGATACGTTGTGTCTGTATATCAACTGAAAAGTGATATGTTCTCCCAGTCTAAAAGTTCTTGATGCCAATATAGGTGCTTGATCTGCTATTCTACTTACTGCGTCCTATTTTCGATTATCTAATTTTGACTGAGTGTGGATTTGCATGTCGATTGATTTATGCTTCGCGGGAGACACTAATCCTATTGATGCAACTTGTCTCACTCCTTTTGGGTGTCTATACAGTTTTCCCAGTTTTTGTTGCTACTTTTATTTGTATCTACTTAATCGATTTACGAGATTTGAACGTCGGTACACTAATGTTCCCTAAATTTATATATTGTATGTATATATTGAGGGAGACCTGAACAGCGTGCAGTGTTTTTATTTTCAACCACTGATTGATGGCCTTTCTGTTCGTCCAGGAGGTTATCAAACCACTAAATCTGCAATCAAAACTTTTTGGTAAATTTGGTTTTTATTATATACTTAATTGTAAAAACAAGTTAATGGTATGTGTAATATAGTTAATGACAATCGTGCTTAATCAGCCATCCGTGATGATATCGATATAAGTCATGGTAACAAAGGCTTTATCAAACCACTAAATCTGCATGACGTCAGGTAATATATATTAGTCACGGTTAAAAAGGCTTTATCAAATCCCTTATATGTATTACGTCATGTCTCGTGAAAAAAAACATCTAAATTACACTACAAACCAGTAAAAGTCTGAAATGGCCTATATCTGTACTCGACAGTACTGATTTTTACTCGACCAGTCTGAATTGGTCTGAATTTTACTCGACATTACTCGACCCCAGTCTTAACCATACTCGACTGTACTGATTTGTACTTGACCCTTATCTTTGCCATTGAAAATAGTCTGAACTATTACTCGACCAGTCTGAAACAGTCTTAACCCATTCTCGACCTGTATTCGACCTATTTTTTTCAGTCTAAACCATACTCGACCAAAGGTCTGAACAATACTCGACCAGTCTGAACCATACTTGACCAAATAACCTCTACTTTTTCTAAATTTTAACTGTTAAAATAAATTTCTTTTTTACTGACATGACAACAGCCACAATAAAATAAAGATATATTATAAAAACAGATTTTTACATTCTTACATGATTCTCAGATTTATCGAATAGAGATAGTTAAATCGAATTATCTAATATAATAATTTAATTATATTAATTTTAAAGAAATTGTTTAACCTTATTTTAGAAATGTATCTATTATTATAATTTGGGATATATTATATACAATATATATCAAAAAGGGATAAAAATTAAAGAAATTAATAAAATTGTTCTTCTGATTAGTGGGAAAGTATAAAGTAATACCTCCTGCTTGGGGCAAACTCATGAAAAAGATCACACCTGGTCAGAGAGTATTAAATTCTAAATAACATTCATTCAAAATTGCAACATCCTGTGAAACTTAAATCGCAAGGCCTTTTAAATTCACTAGATAAGTAATACACGAGTTAAAGAAAAATAGGGCTTTCTTTTTACCTGTAAAACACACATGTACTGGGGTAATTAAACCTTATTAAAGTGCTTCTTGTATGCCATGTCTTTAATTTTGACAAAAAAAATTTAAATTTAATTGAAATAAATTTTTACTGTAACTTTGGAACACATTTCCTTTTTTAAAAGTTTATCACAGGATTACTATTGAAGTTCTATTATCATGATTATATTAAATGCTTGGTTTAACAAAACAAAGGTGTCTTTTTATAAATTTATTAAGTTGCTTTATATGCTATTTTATATATATTTTAATAAAAAAAATGTTCACTGCATTATTAACTAAACTCAACTAACACCATTAATCTATACGAGGCTTAAGTTAATGGTGAAAATTGTCCAGTACCATAAAATATATCTGAAACATTCAAAAAATTTTGAATAACATTTAAGTATTAGCCACAATTCAGTTTTGAGATTATTGATCAGCTTGTTTTATTTTTATTTTAAAGGTGATATATATATGTATGTATATAAGTGTTGATGAAAAGGTGATGAAGTTATATTATGTTTATTGCGAAATTTTGGTTTCAATGCTATATTGAATACATTTTTAATTTCAAATTGATGTTCAAATTTCTAGCCAGGGGAAATAGCTGTTGTTAAAAACAGTTCCTACATTGATGAAATACAATAGACAGATACAAAAAATAGGTCTAGTTTGGTTAAGACTTGGTCGAGTATGGTTCAGACTAGGTCGAGTATGGTTCAGACTAGGTCGAGCATGGTTCAGACTAGGTCGAGCATGGTTCAGACGCGTATAAAATGGTTAAGTACTGGTCGAGTAAGAGTCGAGTACAAGTTCAGACTGTTAAGTATGGTTCAGACTACAGTCGAGTATTATCAAGTAAATTTCAGACCAATTCAGACTGGTCGAGTAAAAATTAGTACAGTCGAGTACAGATATAGGCCATTTCAGACTTTTACTGGTTTGTAGTGTTAGTTGTACTTGAGGTAAATTCAAAACGGAAATTCCCTAATCAAATGGCAAAATTAAAAGCTCAAACACATCAAATTAATGGATAACAACTGTCATATTCCTGACATGGTAAAGGCATTTTCTTGTGTAGAAAATGGTGGATTAAACCTGGTTATATTCATATAGCTTTTTTCTGATACTTATTTGAGATCAGTTTGCTATTTCATTCTTTCTTTATGAACTGTTACTGAGAAACATGTAACCATATCTTGCAAAAAAAAACAACTAATGATTCAGTTTACTTTTCAAATACCATCCAGGAAAGTTTGTATATCTATAATTAATTCTTTTTAGTGAAATATCATTAAAAATGTACTCGCTCTGTATCTCACATAGCAGGTCGCCATTTTCGCTTTTGCGAACAAATAAAAAATGTGGTAATGAAAATTCGTTATTGGCAAAAGAATTTAATAACTTTGAAGGAAATAATTGTTTTGAAGTAGGTAATCGTTTTAGCGACGCACGTTTTTGAAGCATTTTTTACGTCTCCTGTTTTCTTCTTATAAATGATCTTCTTGACATGATGTCTAAGGACAAATTGTTCCTACAACAGATCTAAATTTACAAACGAAATTTTAGAAAATCTAGATTCAAAACCGAAGTGTGTTATATGAAGCAGCAAAAAAAAAAGGATGTTTTTGATTGACTGATTGTTGTTTGTTTGAATCCAGTAGCAAATATTTTTGACCAACTCAACAATTCGATGTGTTTTATGGACCAATTTAAATAAAAACATATAATGTTATGTTTATTCGTGAATAGTTCAGTAAGCACACCTCATCTCATTTTCATGTCGCAAGTCATGAACCTCGCTGGTAGTAGTCGTTTTGTCATATTTTGGCTTTGTATTGTTAATGGCAGATATTTTGTTCTTTCTGTAAAATTGATTTACGACTTTATAGACTGGGGACAAGTTTGAGCTTGACATACTGAAAAAACACCTGCCTATTGTTGAAGACTGTGTGTTGCTCTCCAAATGTCTTTTGTTTATTTTTGTCATTGGGTTTTACCTCATTGACGTTAACACAAATACACTCCATATATTCGTTTAATCATACATTGTAACATATATCTTTTGATTTGGCTTATTTTTTCAACAAACAACTGTTTTGGTGGGGTTCATGTTGCTTTTCCTTTATTTTTCTGTGTTGTGTTTTGTGGAATTGTTCGTCTTTTGTCGTTTTTATTATTTTTTTTTTTTTTTTGCCATGGCATAAAACAACCGCCTCGATGGTCGTGGGTTCAAACACCGACCGGGTCAAACCAAAGACTTCAAAATTGGTATTTTCCGCTTCTCTGCTAAGCACGCGGCATTAAGGAGTAAGAGCAAAGACTGGTTGGCTCAGAGTCAGAATAATGTGTTCGGGTAAGTTGACGTGTCTTCCTGTGAACTAGCACGTTGAAAATCCAGCTCAGCGTGTCGGTCTAGTACAAAACAGGTTTAATGTTCATATTCCCTTACATGTTCTCGTCCTGAATATGCATCTTAATTTGCCGCTGGACGATAAGCAGCCATCCATCATCTAACATATATATTTTAATTAGTCCCCTACCAACGAAATCGAAGGTG